TGTGCATGCCAGCATTCGTCATTTGACTGAGATTCTCGTCGGGATCATTCCAGATCTCCTCGCGAGACATGCAGGGACCCTTTGGAGGAGTGCCACTTCTCCAACTGCCCATCCATGTCCAAAGGGGACGTTGCCTCCAACCCCGGTTCTGACTTAGCATCGGTACCATCACCTGATGATGTGATTGGAGGAAAGCCCTCTACTTTGCCATCAGAGGATCTCACATCCTTTTCAGACCAGATCATAAGGATAGCAAAAGCCCTTGACTTAAAGCATACAGCTTTGGAACCAAAGACCAAAGACCCACTCATGCAGGCCTTATTCAACCCTGACTCCGGACCAGTAGCCCTTCCACTGCTCCAGGCACTGCAGGAGGTCATTCTTTCAGCATTGGGCCACCCAGCTTTGACGGCTCCCTCAGCCAAGCATCTAGATGGACTCTACAGAGTGATTGACTCTGACTGTTCATTTCTGTTTCAACATCCTAAACCAAATTCCTTTATTTCGGAGGTGATTCCAGCTCACAGTCAATACAGCTCACGTACATCACCAATGATAAAGAAAGTCACAAGCTTGATGCCCTGGGGCGCAGAATATACTCTTCTGGTGCCATAGGCCTTCGTGTATTAATGGATTAACATTAACTTCGTGTAGTGAATCGGTATAACCGATTATTCTGGGGGAAGATGGTCCCATATGTTGAGGCCCTACCCCAAGACAAGCAGGCCTTAGCAAAAGCCCTAATGGAAGAAGGAATGCGCTTAGGAAAGCAGCAGGTAACTGCGGCCCGCCAGGATGCAGACTGTCATGGCAGGGCGATAGGTTCTGCTTTGGTCATGTGTCGCCATTCCTGGTTGAGATCTTCAGCCTTACCCCCTGTCGCACAAGTCTATCAAGCCTTACCCCCTGTCACTATCACTAGACTCAACAAGTTTTTACCTAAGCCAAGTTTCAGATGTTATCCCTACATGAGGTTGTTTTACTACTTCACAAGGGTGCCTGGTTCGCCAGCATTGACTTGACTGATGCGTATTTTCACATCTCAATCCACGAAGATTGTAAATGCTTCTTATGGTTTACCCATGCAGGACAGGTTTTTCAGTACTCAGTGCTGCCTTTTGGCTTGGCCTCCACACCTAGAGTTTTTTCTAAGTGTCTGCCAGTGAAAGGCTGTGTTCTGTACCCCTATCTTGACGATTGGTTGTTCGTGGGGGAATCCCCGAAACAACTTTCTGATAACTTAGCCCTGGCTCTCATGAGATTACAAGCCTTGGTACCACAGGCCAGCCACTGGGAGGAACTAGTGAGCTCATTATAGAAATTTTTTCTTCCCAAGAGTGTTGGCTCCTCCTAAGTCATGTGACTTTTGGGCAGGAAGTTTCTGGGCTGGTAGGAGCCAAGTACTCTTGGGAAGAAAAAATTTCTATAATGAGCTCACTAGTTCCTCTCGGTGGCTGGCCTATGGTACCACAGTCCCATGTGTGCCTGCACAGAAGCCCCTCGATGAACAAAGGTTACAGGTAAGTGCAACCCCTGTTTTAGCTCAGATCTTTTAGCATTAGCGCAAAGAAGCAAACTCCAGAATTTTAAAATTCTCACACATGCAGGTAGGGTGTGATATAAACGGAATTAAATAAATATATAACCTATTAAAGACTATCACCTTCTCTTTCATTCCCATATATTGACAATAACAAAATAGTCTCCCCAAATCCTAGCTAATCCCATTTTGGGGGTGTTTACATACTTTATAGTTTGTATTGGTACGCACTTTGTTTCAGCTCTTCCTTTTACAAATAAATCTTTAAACCACTGTTGAAGATTTTAGTGGTTTTATTTTCTTAGACTGCGATAATAAACTAAGCAGCGTGTGATATGCAGAAGAACTTGGCTTTGTTCTTTGCCAGCTTGTCACTGCCAAAAATAGGAAGAGACCAAGATAAAAATGCTCTCTGTCTCATATTTGGTACATGTTGCCAAAGACTCAGATGAATATTCATTGCTATTTTGTCTTTTTGTTTTTTATTGTTACATGTAACATTTAGAAGTTAGAGTCACGGAAAGAAAGACATTGGGTCACACAGTTCATCTTTGCCTCTACTCAGCTTTTTTTTTTTTTTTTTGCTTTTTAAAGGGATAGTAGTTACCTATTGACCTGACCATCTATTTATTTATTTTTAAGAAATGGTACCAGCAAAATGCTCCCAAATAGATTTTAAAATACAGTAATTAAAACATCATAAGCACAGTCATCAGCCACAGGAAGCCTGCTGAATACAGTAATTAAACAATCAAGAATTATTCACCTTGAAGAGATTAGATCTACGGCTGGATTGTGCTAGGAATGGTTGGCCTTATCCAGCTCCTCCCATTTTAGGGTTTGACTCCTCTCCACTGTACCTGTGTTAGTTTCCTTCATAAGTGCAGTGCTGACAGGATAGCTGTGTTTGACCAATGGGCTTTAATGCCTTGTGAGTTTCATTCTTGAATATTTGGACATGATGGAAAAATTAACTGAAATATTGTGTCTTCTACAGATAAATTATGTGGCTTTCAAAAACATGATAGTTCTACAACTGGGTGTCTTAACAAGTCCCTGTCACATAGGAAAAAGCACCACAGAAGTATGCAGGCATTTTAAACTTTTTATATTACATGGTCCATAAATTCCCATTGTTTGCAACTACAACAGTGTTAGAATGTGCTTTTATCTTTCTCCCATGGAAATCAGCACATCTTGAAAATTATTCACTTTAGCTGGATTGTGTGTCTACCAGTGTTCACTCTAAGGCGTGGAGTCTTGTGAGCAAAAAATCTACTTTGTGAGCTACTGGCATTAAAGTTGTGAGCAAGCTATCTGGCTACTCCATAAATTAGTTTGCTCTGGAGCCATCCTTCCTGAGCTGAGGCAAAAACGTATGAGCTGGAGGCTAAAAAATGGTGAGCTAGCTCACACTAACTCAGCTTAGAGGGAACACTGGTGTCTACAGTTTATTTAGCATTATAATTTCATCTGAGAGGGATCACACACCATGGTTTCCCCCCCTTGAAGTCTAAAGCTATTTAATGCTAGGTCTAGTCTGGAAAAAGAAAGGAAAACCAAGAAATATAGAATTAAAATTAATCAATATTATTTACATCATTTTGTATTTGTGGACTGAGTCATACCCACGGAGCCTCGGGAGATTTAGAAAAATATGCAAAATGTAGCTGTTCAAATACAGGGATTTTGACTCCTGGATTATAAATTGCATCCACAGTCAGAAGGGTATTAGGTACATAGCCTAGCACAGGAATGATTACACAGCTGTTGGCCTTCTTCCTCTGTGTGTCCTGAGAAAACATGGTTTGCTTTGTACTAGTTAGTGACTCCAGCAATGGCTGTAACTCAGTTCCTATAGAACACTTGAATCAGATACTGACATTTTCTGCATAAAAAACCTTTGAGGGGATGAGGGTTCCCATGATCAAGAGAAAGGCAGGTTTCTGTTAGTGACACAGGTGATCAAACATGTACTGCTTGGGTACACTTTTTATTCATTTGCCTACCAAAGTGGTTTAGATAGCTGTCATCTCTTAGCATTAACATGAAGATCTAGACTGCACCTTCTGTATTTGACTAGTTTATATGATTTCTTTAGCTGCATTCTAATGTCTCTCATGCTGCTAATGGCAACAAGCTGCACAATTATTTCCACTGCAGCTTCTTCACAGGTCCACTTAGCTGAGTTGCTTGGCTTTGAGGATGATTTTTGACTCATTGTAAATTAATAGGGACTCAAGGGGTCTGAATGCAAGAGATTTGGTGCAACTGCTTTGTAGATGATAGTCCAAAATGATAGAATTTAGCATCTAACTGGAGGTCATGAACCTTCTTGCATGACTTCCTTTAATTGCTCCATTAAAGCCAATTGAGGATAGATCCAGATGGTCAGCCATGTTGGTCTGAAGCGGTAGAAAAAGTGTGCCTTTCACATGAAAGGTCATACCTTGAATAAACCTTTGTTGGTCTTAAAGGACCCACTGGACTCTAAATTTGTTCTAAAGCCAATTGATTAAAATACTATTGATTGAAAGGAATGTGAGGCAGACTAATAAACATGTATCCAGGTTTAAAATGTGTTCCTGGAATTTCCTTGCTAAATGGAGCTTTAAAAAAAAACACAAAAAAACCCCTAGACACTGAATTTGGATCCAGCTGCTATAAAATTCTAATAACATTAAGCATTTTAATAGTGTTTTCAAATGTTCAAACTGCCCTATTTATATAGCTTTGTTGTAATCCTTACAGCACCCCTATAAGGTAGGTCAGTATTCTTATCCCCATATTGCAGGTGGAAGTGATGAGGCTGCCTTGCTAAAACCTCACAATGAATTCATGGTAGAGGCAAAATTCAAATTGGGGACTAGAGTAAAAACTTTGTTATGCCCCACTTGATTATCCAGAATGCTCATTTAACCAGCATTGCTCAGAAAACAAGCTCCACTCCCCTCAGCCATCATACCCCTGCATCTTTGTGTGTGCATTTGCCCAGCCTCTCCAGCTGGCCAGCTTGATGGGGCTGTGGCTGTTGCTGGGCTTCTGACAGCTGGTGCTGCCAGCTGACATTATCCTTGGTTGCCTCCTTCCCCTCATTCTGCCTCAGGTTTTGAGCCAGCTCTGCCAGAGGGCTCCCAAGTATGTGGCCTGCGTATTTGCCTGCTGTGTAGGACACTTCTGTGGCTCACAGGGAAGGTTCCTGCCAGACATAGAGGCTGTCTCTCTATGGTGTTCCCAGTAAAGGGGGGGGGGGTTGGTTGGTGCAGATTCCTTTGGGTAGGGGTGAAACAGAGCCATAGCCTTGATTATCTGGCACAGTTGGTCAACTGGTAACCCATGGGTTACCAGTTTTTACTGTATTTTATTTGCTGTCGAAGCCACTATGCTGTACCAGTTCTTTAGAGCAATTTGGTACCCTGTGTTATTAAGAGTTTTATTGTTGATTTTTCTTCTTGTTCAGGAATTCCAGAAAGCTCTTGGAGCGAAACATTCTGTCTATGACACCACAAACAGAAGTGGACGTTCTTTAAAAGAGAAAACCTCTCTTGCTGATGACAATCTGAAACTGGATGACATGCTGAGTGAGCTAAGAGACAAATGGGATACAGTATGTGGAAAATCTGTGGAAAGGTAAAGAAAAGAAGCAGCAGTGCATCTTATGTAAAAGATCTCATAAAGTAGTAGCTGTTATGAACAGTGGAAGGGAACCTGTCAGTGCAATCCTAAGCAGAGTTGCACCTTTCTAAGCCTATTGACTTCAATGGACTTTAAAGGGTAGAACTATCCTTAGTGCTGCATTGTATATCCATCATTGCCTTATCTATTTTTCCATAGCTCAGAATTGTTATATCCCTCTGGTTACAAACTAGTTTTATGAAAGAGTCACTTTTACTAGAGGATACAGGTTCTTGGGACCGATGTCTCTCTCCATCCCCACAAGCATTTAAATGTGCTGTTTAAATCTCCTCACGTAGTACATGATTGATTTCTGCTATCGTGGCTAGAGAAGGAGGACATCTACTCAAGCTCATTGTTTCTTGGGTGATACAGGGCTCCACCTCAAGAAGAACTTATGACATTAGAGGTGCATAGTCCCTTCCCTGTACATTTTCTTTTGTGTATAGCTTCAGCCCCAGGGTGGAGAGAATTACTTCCTTACGGGTGTTAACCAATCTTGGTAGTGGACCTAAGCTAAAATATCTTGTTGTTCTTCTTATTAGTCAATTCTAAAACAAGCATGAAACTTTCCCATTGGGAAAGGAAGAGGAGACTGTCAGGTCATGACAGTTATGCGTTTGGGAAACTTATAATGGAGGGAGGTCATGGTTATATCAAGGCATGGCTTCCTTTTCTGGGAGGAAAAGAGTTGCAGGAGTGAACTTGGAACATTAAAACAGCCTTGGAGCAAGTGGATTCCAGTGTCTCATGTGGTACTGGCAATGACTCAGAGTTCGCGTGGCTCAGTCCTAGGACAGGGCATTGAAGACAACTGCTATGGGATCATCCACTGGGCAATATTGCACCTGTTGTCACCATCACTGTGGTGTGGGCTTTTTGCTGAGTGGCTCTTACAGTGCTGCTGGCAGCAGTGCAGGGACGATCACTGTGGTGTGGGCTTTTTGCTGAGTGCAGGGACCTCTTGGCTCAACTTGCTCCTGATCACCAGTGGTCCTCCAGGGCAGTGGTCCATCATGAATTTTCCCAGTAAGTTAAAGGTCCAATCTGCCCCTAAAGAGCTAGCAGGTGGGACAAAGGTTATGAGAGTGTTGTGCAAGGTAATAGACCTTTGCCTAGGAATCATATAGAGGCTGGCTTGTACCCAATAGGGCCTGGATTATAGTGTTACAGTGGTATTTATTAATGATGGCCAACTTCCTACAGTCTGATTCAGAAATAAATCAGTATTTACAAGCAGTGTGGTAGAAAACACTCAAGCGTTACGACATCAGTAAATTTATATTCTGAACCTGGCAATTGTCACCCTTGGCAACATTACTAGTATCTGTTTCTCTGTATGATATTCATAAGTCTGGTCAGAAATGCCATTAAATTTCCACCACATCTGTTCATGGGAGAGCACTCTGTCCACAGCAGCTTGCCCAGTAGCATTCCCTCACCAAAGTTGCACTTTCATTCAGCTTCTGTTGCTCATAAGAATAAAGGAAGTAGTGCTTCCTTTTCCACCCTCAATCAAAATGATTCTTTTATTTGCATACCAGCTGTGAATATGAATGCAATGGGTAAATGATGACTGAGCATTACTATCCCCCCCTCTATTCTGTTTGTCTGTTTTCTTTTCCAACTTCAGACAAAACAAACTGGAAGAAGCTCTGCTGTTTTCTGGACAATTTACTGATGCTCTTCAGGCTCTCATAGATTGGCTGTACAAAGTGGAACCCCAGCTGGCCGAAGATCAGCCTGTGCACGGAGACATTGACTTAGTGATGAACTTAATGGATAATCACAAAGTAATGGCAACAAAATTACAGTGATTTTCATATTATTTTAAATCAGATTGTTCTAAACAATTTGATTAAATGTCTTTCGCATTAACATGTAACTTTACAAAGATTGGTGAATCCACTACATACATAGAAACTCTAGGCTGATATAAAAATTAGTTGGAAAAGATAAAACTGTCGCAAAACTTGAGGAAGCTAACTTGCTTTGAAACCCACCTCATAGCTAATATTGCTTTATTTTGTGGTACTTTCTGGGAATTTTAATATACTGTTTTAAACCCTCCAGGTCTTAAAAGTAAGTGCAAGCAAATGTTTCTCAATGCAGCCATGGGTGTTGTAGGTAATACTGTAAGCATTCACTCCTTCTAGGCTTAGCCTTTGGCCACAATCCATCTAGCTTTTCAGGAAGACAAGAATGCTGACGCACACACATGATTTCCTTCGTCTGCAAGGACTGCCCATTTATTTCAATAGAGAAGAGATCTATGAGTACATTCCTTTGTGTGCATATATCTGGAAATGGTTGGTGAATCTTAAACACACACACACAATTGCATGTTGTACTTCTGTATTGGGGTATAAGGGCAGGAAAGAGCTTGGGGTTCAGTGGAGGGGGGAGGGGCTGGAGCGAGAAGCTACATGAGAAACACATAGCTTGGTTGGATTTAAGATGTTCCTGTGCCCAGAGTACGCTGGTAAGGATATCAAGCAATTTAATTTTTAAAATTAACAATTTTTATCTGAATTCATACAGCACAAGGGAAACAATACTAACATAAGAGGTTTCCTATAAAATGTAAGTAGAATTACTGATTAAGAGTAAATTAAGGACAAATTACATACAACAAAATAACAAGGTTTTGCCCTAACCTGAATGGCGCAGGCTAGCCTGATCTCACCAGATCTCAGAAGGTAATCAGGGTCGGCTCGGGTTAGTACTTGGATATGAGACTATCAAGGAACTCCAAGATTGCTACGCAAAGGCAGGCAATGACAATTTATTTCTGTTCATCTCTTGCTTTGAAAACTCTACAGGGTTGCCATAAGTCAGCTGTGACTCCATGGTACATTCCACCAGCAGCAAGTTTTAATAAGTCAAACCCAACTTCTTTTGAAATCTTAGAAGGAGCAGTGGCTCGGTGGTGGAGCACTGGCTTTGGATGCAGAAGGTCCCAGATTCAATCCTTGGAATCTCCCATTCAGAGGGTTGTGTTGTTGATAATGTGTGTGAGGGTCCCTGTGCCCCCCCCCCAAGGTGGCCCGCTTTCCATGCCTGACATGCCTGAGACCCTGAAAAGCAGCTGTCAGAGTACACAATACTGACTTTGATAGACCAGGCATCTGACTTAGGCAGCTTCATATGTTCATGTTAAATAGAAAAAAAAAGAATCTGTAAGCTAGGGGTATTTGCTCTGCATATTGTCATTATGAAGCTTTTTTAAACATAGGTAAAATAAGGTTGTTTTCATATGTATTATGGAGATAACTTTGCTAAACAGAAGGGTCCAATCTTTTTTTTCTGGTCATCAGGTGTTCCAGAAGGAACTAGGAAAGAGGACAAGCAGCGTCCAGGCTTTGAAACGCTCTGCCCGAGAGCTGACTGAAGGCAGTCGTGATGATTCCTCCTGGGTAAAGGTCCAAATGCAGGAACTTGGTACTCGGTGGGAGACTGTGTGTGCGTTGTCTGTCTCCAAGCAAACACGACTGGAACAAGCCCTCCATCAGGTGAACAAATGAACCCGTCACACCAAATTCAAATAGTCTAGGGGAGGGCGGGTGGTGGTGCAGTACATTCCTAGGGTATTGATGTTAGGGGGAGACAGTAAAGGCCTTCTTCATGCCCTGCTTATGCCACAAAGTTTTGCATGCACAAATGGGTTGCAGCGAATGGGCCAATCTGTCAGGCTCCCAGTCAAATCACTCTCCACACAGGCTTTCTTGAATGTAAGTTTATTGAGGAGATTTGAGATACTTTAGGAAGTGAACTCTTTGTCAGGACTGAGGGGTAGAGGCGAGGACCCAGAGTATAACTGAAACCCACATTCCATGCATACGTCACACAACCTGAAGCATAAGCAATCCTAAGAACCCAGACAGACACATTAGTTCCACTAGCCATTCGAAAGTCTTATGTTTTTCAAGGACACTCTCATGCAAAAGTTCCATGATGTGCTGCTTGGGAAAAAGGTTACCATCGTTGCCTCCCTAAATTGCAGACATTCACACAGTCTCTCTCCCTCCCCCTCCCACCAGGAATGTCAGCGAGGGTGAGCGCTAAGCAGGACGGCGGAATACATCTGCTGTAGCCAGGGAAGCGAGGAACGGGGGTTTGGGGTACAGAAAGCAGATTGCTAATACCACAGGCACAGAAAACATAGCAGAAGGTGAACCCGAGTCTGACACAATCACTGTAAAGCCAGCTTACAAAAATATTAAATTGAAAGACAGAAACAAAATCCCTGAATCTTTAGCCCTGATCGTGTCAGCAGAACAGTGAAACTGATTGGGCTGGGTTGCAAATAGTTTCTAGTCTAGCCAAATTCGTATCTAAAAGGAAATTTTAAAAGAAAAGCAAATGTTTTTAAATAGTAAGGGTAGAAGAAAGGTAGAGCGGCATTGCTGTTTGATTATTTGTTTATGGCTATGAATATGACTATAGGCACTTGTCTTTCCACATGGTTAAAATGATTTAATAAATAAATAAATAACCCTTTAAAATCAGTTACTAAATTGTTCCAGATAGAATGGAGAGGGGTAGGGCATGTTGCTCATCCTTTGCATTTTCCACGATGTGTCTGCAACAAACCCAGTGAAATGCGCACACATGCTTCTTGACATGTTACTGAAACCCACAAAACCTGTTTGACCAGCACCAATGCTAAAACACAAAAAATGTGGTCGTCATCTGCAGATACTTAAATCTATGGATTAGGGCCATGTGAAGGCTAAAATGATTTTTCAGGTGGGCAGAAAAATCAGAAAATATAAAAAAAATACATGGGGCTTTTGAAATCCCTCGATTGGCAGCAGGACAGGGAAGGCTGCACTCGGTTCAGCGGCAGTGGTGCAGCTCAGGAGCCCCACCAGCAGCTGCTTGAATGCAGCTGCTGTGGTGGAGGACACCAGCTGCTGCTTCAGGCCTGGAAGCAGCAGAGGAGCATGTCGGCAGCTGCTCCAGCCCACATTGGGTGCCCCTTATCCAATAACATTAACTGTATTCATTAGCATGGCTCCACCTATTCATTTAAAGCATGTCTGTTATAATTTGTCGATATGAAGTCAAGTTGGTCTGAATGGGCCTTACACATATGCTATCAATTATATAGTTAAAAGCAGGCACAGATAGGCCTTTGGACTCACTTCAGTATTCTTAAAACAGCATATGACATTTTTACAGTTATGAATGTGAGGTGCTGTACGCATTGTTCCCTCTAAGCTGAGTTAGTGTGAGCTAGCTCACAGTTTTTTAGCCTCCAGATCACCCATTTTTGTCTTAGCTGAGGAAGGATGGCTCCAGAGCAAACTAATTTATGCAATAGCCAAATTGCTTGCTCACAACTTTAATGCCAGTAGCTCACGAAGTAGAATTTTTGCTCACAAAACTCCACAGTTTAGAGGGAGCATTGGGCTGTATGTCATAGATTCCTTAATGGAAAGTTAATGTGCTTTCATTGGTGAATGATGAATGACTTCACTAGTCTGGGCTCAGTTTCATTGTTTATGGGAGGAATCCAACATTGTATTCTTTCTGTCAGATCCCTTTAAGTGTTCTCTCCTCCCAACCTTCATATGTACAGGCAGAGGAATTCCACTCTGTGGTTCATGTTCTTTTGGAATGGCTGGCTGAGGCTGAACAGGCCCTTCGTTTCCATGGCATCCTCCCAGATGATGAAGAGGCTTTGCGAGCACTAATAGATCAGCATCGGGTGAGTAAGATAATTGGGACAATGCTTGGCTCTCAAGGCTAGATTTATGGGAAGGCAGAGTTAAAATAAAGCAGTGTAGGCTATTTATGTTTTGTTTGGATCTGGCAGCAAAAGTTAATGTGCTTTCCTAGAAATGAGAAGTTGTGGAACAGTCTTTCCACAGACTGACGTTTTCACTAACATAAGCTGTGAAGTTTTAATAGACTCATTGGCAATCCAGTTTAAACTCCTTAAAATTGGCATGTTCTCAGGCTAGATCATCTGAACATTGCATATTACTGAACGCCATTATCCTCCTTGGGACCCTGGCATAAACCATCACATCCTTAGCAATTCACAATGCCACCTTAAGCAGAATTACACCTTTCAACTGAAGTCAAGTGTTTTAGAAAGGTATAGCTGAGACTGTGTCATCCTGGAGTAGTTCTGCATAGGACTCTATTGTTAGTCTTCTCTGACTGAATAAGTGGAACACAGCTTGCTTGTTTGTTCTCTTCCTCCTCCTGCTGACCAACCTCTCCAGTCTTGGTAGATCACCACTTCCAATGGGTTTCAGAAAAAAGTGTTCAACAGCAGGAAGGGCTGCAAGAGAAAGGCTATAGTGGAAGAGTATGGCAGAGCCAGTGGTAGAGGCCAGGTGGTGAAAATGAAAGCTTTGAACCCCTTCTATTTAAATTAAAGCGCTGTAGTTTATAGCTCGCAATGCTGAATGCAGTTTACTAATTCTGCTCTCGGGCTTCAAAAACATGGCCTTTGCGTAAGATTTGTTTTTGGCTATTTCCTGTGATAACAGACAGTTCATTTGATGTTGTAATAGCTTTAATTTCATTCTTATATTTTCAATTGAAGGATCTTTTTTCATTTTCTCTTCTTGTTTCTTAATTTGTTCCTTGATTTGTGTAAATTTTTCTGTCTTTTGTTTTTTAATGTGTGCAGCTTCTCTAATTATCCAACCTCTAGCATAGGCTTTGAATGTATCCCATATAGATCTAGTGGAAATGTCTGATTGGATATTTTGGTTAAAAAACATTTGAAATTCTTTTTTGTCTCTATTACAAACTTTTCATTCTTCAATAGGTCCATCTATTTTTCTTTGGTGTATCTTGTAATATAAGCATTACAGGGTTGTGGTCTGCAAAGGTTGCTGGTAAAATTTCCACTTCTAATAAGTCATTTATTATTGCTGCTGAGATCCAGAAGAGGGCAACCAGGATGGTGAGAGGGTTGGAATCCAAGTCTTACGAGGAAAGGCTGAAAGAGTTGGGTATGTTTAGCCTGGGAAAGAGAAGGCTTAGAGGGGACATGATTGCAGTCTTCAAATATTTGAAGGGCTGTCATGTGGAAGATGGAGCAGATCTATTCTCTTTTGCTCCGGATTGCAAGACTAGATCTAATGGGTGGCAATTAAGAGGGAGTCAATACCACACTAAATATCAGGAAAAACTTCCTAACTGTAAGAGTGATTGAGCAGTGGAACAGACTGCCTCGGGAGGTGGTGGATGCTCCTTCGCTGAACGTTTTCAAGCGGAGGCTGGACAAGCATCTTTCGAGTATGTTGTAGGGCTATCTTTCGGCTGTGCTCCTGCATAGTGCAGGGGGTTGGTCTAGATGACCTGCAAGGTCCCTTCCAGCTCTAACATTCTATGAGTCTATGATTCCATATCTATCCTTGACCATATACATATATACAGTTGAGGTGAAGAATAGACTCAAGGGTCTAGATTTGATAGATGGAGTGCCTGAAGAACTATGGACGGAGGTTCGTGACATTGTACAGGAGGCAGCAATCACCACCATCCCAAAGAAAAAGAAATGTAAGAAAGCAAAGTGGCTGTCTGATGAGGCTTTACAAATAGCAGAGGAAAGAAGGGAAGTGAAAGGCAAAGGCGAAAAGGGAAGATTTACCCAACTGAATGCAGATTTCCAGAGAACAGCAAGGAGAGATAAGGAGGCCTTCCTGAATGAACAGTGCAAAGTAATAGAAGAAAACAATAGAATGGGAAGGACTAGAGATCTCTTCAAGAAAGTTGGAGAAATCAAGGGAGCGTTCCATGCAAAGCTGGCCATGATAAAGGACAAAAACGGTAGGGACCTAACAGAAGCAGAAGAGATTAGGAAAAGATGGCAAGAATACACAGAAGAACTATACAAGAAAGACCTCGATGTCCTTGACAACCACGACGGTATAATCACTGACCTCGAGCCAGACATCCTGGAATGTGAAGTTAAATGGGCCTTAGAAAGCATTACTAACAACAAAGCTAGTGGAGGTGATGGTATTCCAGCTGAGCTATTCAAAGTCTTAGAAGATGATGCTGTTAAAGTGCTGCACTCCATTTGCCAGCAAATTTGGAAAACGCAACAGTGGCCACAGGATTGGAAAAGGTCAGTATACATTCCAATCCCAAAGAAGGGCAATGCCAAGGAATGTTCAAACTATCGCACAATTGCACTCATATCACACGCTAGCAAGGTCATGCTCAAGATCCTACAAGCTAGGCTTCAACAGTACGTGGATAGAGAACTACCAGAAGTACAAGCTGGGTTTCGAAGAGGTAGAGGAACTAGAGATCAAATTGCCAACATTCGCTGGATTATGGAGAAAGCAAGAGAGTACCAGAAAAATATCTACTTCTGCTTCATTGACTATGCTAAAGCTTTTGACTGTGTGGATCACAACAAACTATGGCAGGTCCTTAAAGAGATGGGAGTACCAGACCACCTCACATGTCTCTTGAGAAACCTGTATAAGGGCCAAGAAGCGACAGTTAGAACCGGATATGGAACAACTGATTGGTTCAGCATAGGAAAAGGAGTACGACAAGGATGTATATTGTCGCCTTGCTTATTTAATATATATGCAGAGTACATCATGCGAAATGCTGGCCTGGATGAATCACAAGCGGGAATTAAGATTGCTGGGGAAAAGATCAACAACCTCAGATATGCAGACGATACCACTCTAATGGCAGAAAGTGAAGAGGACCTAAAGAGCCTCTTGCTCAGGGTAAAAGAGGAGAGCGCAAAAGTGGGCTTGAAGCTCAACATCAAAAAAACTAAGATCATGGCATCCGGCCCCATCACTCCTTGGCAAATAGAAGGGGAAGTCGTGGAAGTAGTGACAGACTTCACGTTCCTGGGATCCCAGATCACCGCAGACTGTGACTGCAGCCATGAAATTAAAAGACGCCTGCTCCTTGGGAGGAAAGTGATGGCGAACCTAAACAGCATGATAAAAAGTAGAGACATCACCCTGCCAACAAAAATACGCATGGTCCAAGCAATGGTATTCCCAGTAGTCATGTATGGCTGTGAGAGTTGGACTATAAGGAAGGCCGAGTGCCGAAGAATAGATTCTTTTGAACTATGGTGCTGGAGGAGACTCTTGAGAGTCCCTTGGACTGCAAGAAGATCAAATCAGTCAATCCTAAAAGAAATCAACCCTGACTGTTCCTTGGAAGGCCAGATAATGAAACTGAAGCTCAAATACTTTGGCCACCAAATGAGAAGGGAGCACTCACTGGAGAAGACCCTGATGCTGGGAAAGATTGAAGGTCAAAGAAGACGGGAACGGGAAAGGATGATATGGTTAGACAGTGTCATAGATGCAACGAACATGAAATTGAGCAAACTTCAGAGGATGGTGGAAGACAGGAAGGCCTGGCGTGATCTGGTCCATGGGGTCGCGAAGCGTCGGACTCGACTGTGCGCCTGAACAACAACAACAAAAATGTTCAACTTGGCACAGTCCTTGAATAATGAGCATTTCACATTTCTTACCTTGAAATATTATTGTCCAATGTGTTATTAAATTAAAATTTAGAACAACGGAGCTAATCCTAGTACTATAGCTCTTTATGCATGCAATGAATTTTCTTTGCACAACAGCATACCACAACTTTTTTTTTAAAAAGCTTCTGTTAATGTAATGGCTTTTATCCTAGCAGAAGTGAGCTGCATGTGGCTATTTTCAAAAAGCAGAAACTTGAGGGTTTACATCACTTTACAAGAGAACAAATTTGTGAAACTTTGAATTAGGTAAAGGCAGGAGTCCTGTGATGAAAAGAAAGTAAGCAAAAGACAGCATAAACATATTTTTCTTATTACCTAATTCTTTGTGTTAACCTGCTGTACCTTTTAGCCCTAAAGGCCCCAAAGAGAGGTAATATGTTAGTTGTCTAGAATACATAACCTCCATTACGTCAAGCCCAATTTTAAAGAAGGTCTAATGGGATATGAAATGGAGCTTTTCAAACGAAAATACTTCAGAAGTGGAAATGAGCTCAGAGATTGTTATCTCAGGACAAGTGTTCATAGAAGTAGGGGGTTGTGCAAACTCCTGTACACAAGCAATCTGAGCTATCAAGTGTCAGCATAGAAATCATATGCAAATACTTTACAATATGCCAGTAGAAAACATTGATTCTTACAGCTCAGTGCTAAACATGTTTAACTCACCTGTTAGGTAGTAGACTTTAGACAAACCAGTCCTATGCCCCTTTTGAGCCCTTACACACAGTCTCCTAGTCATTTCTGTCTTGCCTATTTCCTTCTGTCAACAGTGCACTGCCCAGGCCCCACACACTCATTTAGCCACAGTCCTACTCCTTAGTTCCTTCTTTCTTCCTAAGGATTTGCAGATTAAAAAGGAATCAGTTGTTTTCAGATCTGGATATCAGGAAGTCAAAAAACATCAGTATTCCTGGTTTTCCAGATTCCAAACACTAGTTCGGTATTTGGATTTGTTTGTTTAATTTTCCAGGATTCCAACATTATTTGGCTCCTTTATTCCCTGTGGGGAATCTTTCTGGAGGGCTGGAGGTGACTTGCACCAAAATTGCAGTGAAGCTGATAGTGCCTGCCCTTTAAATAACCTCAAAATGTCAAGTGAATTGGACCAAGAGATTCTGTGGGCACCTGAAGAAGGTGCCCCCAGCCATCCTCCATTGCCTGCTATGGCAGAGAGGAATTTTCTCCAGGACACAAAATAGCCAGAGACACCAGAACAAGCAAAGCAATCCCTGTCCAAAAGCCTTTCAAAGCAGACAGAACCAATAAGCTCAAAGATCTAACGCAGAACCACGGGGCAATGTGGCAAGCCGTATACAGCCAATGTCAAATTAGAGAAACTAAGCCAAAACAATTTAACAAGGAGGGATGGAGTAAAATGAATGGCAGGTTTCCCATTGGGTACAATGGGAGATGCTGGAATGCCCATTGGATGTAATGGGAGCTAGGAATACCAATTAACTTGCATAGGGTCCATTGAAAGTTGCCATGAAAATGCGGAATGGATTTACAGTGAGGGTCTCTGGGTCTATATAAACTACTCTGGAACTGGAATGACAGCCACCAGAATGGTATGATGGCCTCTAGGAGTAGCATAAGTGCTTTGGGACTGGAATGAAAGCCCCCAGAGTGAATTGATTACTTCTAGGAGCAGCAGAAGTGTTCTGTGCCTAGAATGACAGCTCCCAGAGTGGAATGACATCCATAGGAGTAGCAGAAGTGGTCAGATGCTTCCAACAAGCCCAACAGAACCAATGCAGAATCAGGGAATCCCAGCAGAACCAGAAGCCAATGTGGGAAGCTCAACAGAAGCAATGTCAAACCAGAGAATCCCAGCAGAACAAACTTAAGCAAGGGAGGAAGGACTTTATGCAAGCCCAGGAGAACCAGTTTCAATCCACAGAACCCCCAGCAGAACCAGCTTAAGCAGGGGGGAGGATTTTTGCAACAAAACTGGTGCAATCTACAGAAGCCCAGCAGAACCCAGGGCCAGTGCGGCAGCACAAGTCCAATAGAACCAATAGCAATCCGCAGAAGGCTGGAAGAACCAGAGACAGCCAGGCACACCTGTAAGACACTGACACAGACACTTATACAGTAACAATCCTGCTTGCCGCCTTCTCCTCTCACTCCTGTTGCCTGGGAAACTTGCAAAATAAAAATAACAAACTGACTTGGAGAGCTTTAAAGTTTAAATTGCTGGTTCTGGATATACCCAAATATATCCAGATATAGTCTGTATTGTATTTACTGGCTTTGGCAAAGATTCTCTGATGTGTATTCAGATCCAGATATACCAGAAAATGGGGCATAGTTTTGATAGGATATATCCGAGTGCACATCCCTATTTCTTCCCCTTCATGTCGCTGTTTTTTCTTTTGTCCCATTTCCTTTATCTACCCTATTGACCAGTGATTCCCCCCCTCGAAGCCTCTTTCTAATTAATTACCGCTGCCTTTCTTTTCAAATCTTAATTCATATCTCTATTCTGAAGGATCTTCTTTCTCATTCTATTGTCTACTTTGTGCCTTCTCCCTTCTTGCCTCTGGGTTCCTTGCCCCTTAGCTTCTCAACTTTTTGGATCTCTTCTAGTTCTGCCCCATGTGAGAATTTAATCCCAGCCAAACTGACAGTTTTGCTAAACTAGACACTGTTTAAATCCCTGACTAACTGAACATTCTATTATCCCACAAACTTAGCTAGAACTTCATTTTCACAAATACTGTGGGAGGGACTTCACAACCAATAATCTAATTTTAGGATATATACCTACTCTTTGGGCACTCTTGAAATACCACATATTTTGGATTCAGAGGGCAGATATATTTGCTAAACAAATCATTTTATGACACTGGAAATCTCAATGATCTCCCTCTAGAGATCTCTGAATCAACACTATTCTAGGCCTTTGTACAAAAGAGAGAATAGCATAGGCACCTTTATTCCCTGTTTAATTAAACTCATAATGTTGCACCTTGGTTTCCTAACCTGCACTCCTGCCCGACCTTTATTTCTTTTCTCTCTTTCCTTCTCTACTAATAGGACACATTAGGGAAGAGGGAGGGGTGGGCTATATGGGGCTTATTTGCTATGTTAACTTTTTTGTGTGGAAACAATAAAAATCTTAATTAAAAAACCACAGGATTGGGCTGTGGTATCTTTTCTGGAGCTAAAAAAGCCCTAATGGTGTAAATGACAGATAAGGCATTTGAAATAAAAATATTACAATTTTCTTTAAGATTCATCCCAGAAGCGAGTGTTTATAAATTGTCAAAACAGGTGTTATCTTCCTTAAAAAATGGATTTTACTTCTGTTCCTCCTTAAGTAGAGTCTGACATGGGATGGATCACAGATTCACCCTCTGCGTCTCCCTTCTTTCCCCTAGTGATCATACAGTGAGACAGACATCACTGCTTAGAGTAAGTAAACAATAGTGTCAGCTCTCTCCTTGCCAGAGACAAGGAAGGGGGAAGGAATACTTGGGAAAGTATTGTTGGCCAACAAGGTAAGATGGGGAAAGCATTTCTAAAGCCGAGCCCACGCCAAATCTTATGGGAAAGTTCCTTGCCTTGCATACATCATGTTTAAGATCAGACCTCAGTCTGAAGGTGGGCCTTGGGCATATGCACCCCCACATTCCCCCCCACAATTCCCTGAATGCAGGTAGATTCAGTGAGTGCACAGAGAGATATTGTGTTTGCTTGACACCTTGTGTAACCAAACCTGATTTCTCCCTCGCTCAGTTTATAACCAAACCAAGTGTTTAGCACATGGGTTCCTAGGAGAATCCCATGGACACAAGCAAACAGAGCTCCAGTCCAAGGAATCATACTATGCATTATTTTGTGCTTTATAATTTCCTACATTAGACCTGTGCTCACCTACAACATCTCCTCTGAGCAGGGTATATAATCAAAAAGTAAAGGTAAAGGTTCCCTTGCTCGAAAGCCAGTCGAATCCGACTCTAGGGTTGCAGTGCTCATCTCCGTTTCAAAGCCGAGGAGCCAGCGCTGTCCGAAGACGTTTCCGTGGTCATGTGGCCAGCATGACTAAACACCAAGGCGCACAGAACGCTGTTACCTTCCCACCAAAGTGGTACCTATTTATCTACTTGCAATTTCTTCCTTTCGAACTGCTAAGTTGGCAGGAGCTGGAACTAGAGACGGGAGCTCACTCCGTCACGCGGCACACTCGGGTCTCGAACTGCTGAACTACTGACCTTCCACAACCTGCAGTTCAGCATCTTAACCACTTGAGCCACCGCAGCTCCAGGGTATATAATTAGGGTACAATAAATGATTAGTTTTTGGGGCCTCCTGAAACATGTCCAGTAAAAATAACTTGCTAAGTTCTGTGCATTTTTTGTTCATGTTTATTATAAGCAAATGTGTATACTTTTTGTTGCAATAGTAATAAGTCGCGTGCTCCAGCACATGCCTTATATCTGATGTTAGTGATTTGACTGTGGTTTTTTTACATAACTTTCTTTTCTTATAAAAGATGAACTTGTTTCACTGCTTCCATTCTATTGAATCCACTGAGGCGTCAAATGATTCAGTGTAGGCATTTGTTCTTTTTGACTCAGCCAGCAAAGCCTGAAGGTTGCATGAATTTTTCCCTTTGAGTCACTGCCAGCACCTAATTGAAATCACCATTTCTGCCTTAGGAATTCATGAGGAAACTGGAAGAGAAAAAAACTGGGCTAAATAAAGCCACAGGTATGGGAGAGGCCGTCTTGGCTATCTGCCACCCAGACTCCATCACTACCATTAAGCACTGGATAACAATCATCAGAGCAAGATTTGAAGAGGTCAGTCCATCTCAAGCAGTTCTTTGTGGTAACAGTCAGTCTTTGACAACTTGGAACATGACTGGCAGTTAGCAAGGCAGTTACACTGTGAGGAAAAGATCCAGCTTTCAAGAGCAAAACGTTTAGCATACATATCCTTGCTGTCATAAATATTATAGGCAGATTTTTTTTCATACCTCTGCTATGAAAAAGAGGTAAAGAGAAGTAAAATCGTGCCCATGTCAACTTACATCTCTTAGCCCCACCACTAAAGACGGATTAGAAAAAAAATGTTAAGATTCTAAAGCTGTGGAACATCTTCATGGCAACACAATCTGTCACCAACACATAGACATACTAGTGTTAAGTAGCAAGAACAGTGACCCTCAGTCATCACTGCCTTTACCATGTAAGTCTAGTACAAGTGGGCATTGATAGTTATTGGAAATTCTCATGCACTGCTCTTCATTTAAAGGTGTTAGCATGGGCAAAGCAACATCAGCAGAGACTGGCAGTAGCCCTGGCTGCATTGATTGCAAACCAGGAGTTACTGGAAGCATTATTGTCCTGGCTGCAGTGGGCAGAAACAACTCTGAGTGAAAAAGACAAGGAGGACATTCCTCAGGAGATTGATGATGTTAAAGCACTCATAGCTGAACACCAGGCAAGTGAACCATGACTCTATTCTTAAGATCAGGCTAGTCATTCTTAAGTGTATGCATATTTTGAAACATTATGTGGAATAGATGTATTTGCTATCCTATTGTTGTTCAAAATGAAAGCAAACAATGAAAACTAGGCAAAGTCCTTCCAGCTGATAACTTGGCAATACTTTTAAATCTCTCTGTAAAACAGTGCACATTCTAACAGCACTGTGGATTACTGCCTAGAGAATAAAGAGGCTGAACCGTTATTTTTAAGAAACCAGAATTATGGGCTGCAAATCGAAACAATATAGTTTTGCTAGTCAAGTTGTACAGAGCCTTTAAAATTGTTCTTGGTGTGTGTATTCCCTTCATGCTCCCATAAGGGCTCTCCTTTTTTTTTGAAAGCTAATGTATTAGGGCCACTTCACTGCATTTTGTGACCCACACTGAGGTTACCCTTTTCAACATGGGTACCCAGACCAGGAAACAGACAGCTGTTTTGCCTTCTTGACAAACACTCTCATAGAAGAAAAGATAGGCAAAGAGGCTGCCTTTAGGGTATTACAAAAGAGAAATGCTCAGCAGAGACAGTTTAGTGTAATGGTTGGGGTAGGGAGACCTACATTCAAATCCCCATTCAAACACGGAACTCAGTAGGGGACTTTGGGTCAGTAAGTCTGGTGTACTTCACAGGATTGATGTGAAAATAAAACAGGATTGGTGGACCATGTATGCCACTTCAAGTTCCTTGGAGGGAAGATGGGATAAAAAAACCCCAGTAAATCTAGCATAGGTCTTCTGGCAGGTAGAAAAAATAATGTTTGGGAAGCAGGAGTTCTTATGTGTGCATGAAGGATCTCCCAAACCTCTGGTGAACCTCTGGTTCAACTATATATGTTGCAAATTATTCTTGCACATTGTTCATCAAGGCAACCAACATTTAATTGTAGATGTTCATGGAAGAGATGACTAGAAAACAGCCTGATGTTGATAAAGTTACTAAGACGCACAAAAGGAAAGCAGCCGAATCTGCTCCAATACAGTCTCAGATTCCTGTACTTGATAAAGGAAGAGGAGGACGTAAGTGAATGAAATTGTAGCATGGAGGGAGGTGGGAGCAGCATGCAGATTCCTGTTTTTAGAGTATAGTGTATCATTTGTACACTTGCAATGTCATCTCCCTGCATATTGGATGGATTGGTTTGTCAGTTTATTTTGGCTGATTTAAGAAGTGCCTTAAGGCCAAACCTACCTTCTTGAGAGCAAGCCATCTGACCCCCACAAACTCTCTTTTTCTCCTGTATGCACAAACAAGTTATATGCAAGAACAAGCATAAATGCTGTTTATATCCTTTGTTTAAATTGCTTTAAAATGCATACAGAAAAATGAATGAATAATCACTGTTTCCCCCCATATTTTAACAGGGAAACGTTCCCCAACACTAAGCTTGTATCCATCAGGTGCACAGACCCAGATTGAAACCAAAAATCCACGGGTGAACCTGTTAGTCAGCAAGTGGCAGCAAGTCTGGCTCCTAGCCTTGGAAAGAAGAAGGAAATTGAATGATGCTTTAGACCGACTAGAGGAGGTAAGTAAATACTAAAGTTAACAATAATGTTACTGGTAGCAGTGTTTCTGTTGTTTGTATGGGAACAACAGAGTCATGTGGCACTTGAAAGACTAAGTTTTGTACTGTAGCATGAGCTGTCATGGGCCTGCTTCATCAGAGGCATGCCCTTTGTGGGATGCAAGTGTGGATAGACATCGTACTTCTCACCATACTGATTATGCAGCACATTTGCTGGCCATTGCACTCCTTATACACCAACACTGAAGCATGTGGAGGCTCTACTCTGCTCATACAATTTCTCCCCTGTGTTTTCAAGAGAGAAATTACGCAAGCAGATGTTTTCGTGTTGTCAATAAGATATGCACCAAAAAACATTATCATAACGCCAGTCTTATGTATGTAATATATATATAGTGCAAGTAAAATGCAACCTTGATTTGTCTGTGGAGAATTATGCCTACTGGCATTTTGGGTTTAGTATTAAATAGCGTAGGAACGATCCACAGAATCAAACCCTGGTTTCAAAACCCTGGTTTTAAATCCTGTTAGTGTTAACCATTGGTAGTGTCGAGACATATGTAATGCTAAATTATGTTTAAATGTGATAAAGGAAGTGGGAATTGGGGGGGAGGGGAAGCAAGGGCAGTGGGTTCCTGGTCCTGGCTGCTACTTTGCAAAACACAGTTTGTAGAAGCCAGCATTGACTTCTTTCCTGACCTTTTCACTTTGTGGTCATATGAGATCACACGGCAATACTGCTCTTAAACCATTTTTCCTTCTTCCTCTCTCTTGCTCTCAGCTGAAGGAATTTGCTAACTTTGATTTTGATATTTGGCGAAAAAAATATATGCGGTGGATGAACCATAAGAAATCTCGAGTGATGGACTTCTTTAGAAGGATAGATAAAGATCAAGATGGGAAGATAACAAGGCAGGAATTTATTGATGGGATTCTTTCTTCGAGTAAGTTTTCAAGGAAGAGTTGTCTATAATTCTCCAAAGAAGTTTCAGTATGCTTTTGAAGTTACTTATCTAAAATATTTGTGTGTCCACATCTTCATATGAATGAGGAGGCTAACAACATAAGAAATAACAATAAAACATCAACCATTATAATCATTAAAATGGTGGCAACTACAAGACACAAGAAGCCGCCATTTAAAACGACATTTAAAAAAGAAGACAGCTAAAACCCAGATGGGGGTTTCAGAAAAACTTGAGAAAATAAAAAGATGTCTTCTCCTGGGCACCTCTAGTGGGCTGTCAGATGGAGCCTCTGTAGGGAGGGAACTGCAGTTCCTGACAAGGTCCTTGATCATTTTCATGTTGGCCAATCACTCTAATGCAAGCTGTTTCTTTGGTCTGCAGAGTTTCCTACCAGCCGATTGGAAATGAGTGCAGTAGCCGATATCTTTGACAGAGATGGCGATGGCTATATTGACTATTATGAATTTGTAGCAGCGCTTCATCCAAACAAGGATGCATACAAACCTCTAACAGATGCAGATAAAATTGAAGATGAGGTGCGTTTCTCTCCCCCCCCTTTACTACTGCTATCATATGCTAACTATATAGTCCTAATGTTCTTCTGCTTGATTCCACAATGATCAATTATGCAAAATCCTTAGAGAATAATAGTATGGTTTTGGTTATCTTTTGACAGGTGACGAGGCAGGTAGCAAAATGTAAATGTGCAAAGCGATTCCAAGTGGAGCAAATTGGGGATAACAAGTACAGAGTAAGTTTTTAAAAATCATTTTCTTTCTTGTGGAATCCCAAGTATTTTCCAGAGAGCAGAGACACTGGAGCATGCCAGTTCAAATAGTAGGAATTCGTTCTGTTTTCTCAAAATCTGGAAGTAACATTTTTTTAAAGCTTAATCCATTTTTAAATAAATTAATCAGAAAAAACATATCCTTTAATATTCCATTTGAGTTGTAAGAAAGCTTTTTTCTCATGACCTTTGTAGAGAACTTTGCTCTTCGTGGAACTGTTCAGAACCTCATGATAGAGCTTGATTTTTCTGGGCCACATGTGCATTTGGATACATCAGCGCAGCTTTTGGCACCTTATATGGTGACATTGGTTAACATGTGTATAATAGGGGTGTTTTTTCCTCAACAGAATGAACAGTTGGAACTCCATTAGGCTTTCAGAATATTTGAATGAAATACATTCCATCATCACCATTCTGTGTGTTTTTCCATTAGAGCCTACTTTCCCTTCATTTAGATAGGAAATGTTCCAGGTATCTTTAAAAAAGAAAAGAAAAAGAAACATCATGAAAGAATCTGTCACATTGCAGAGGAAATACTTCATTTCCTTTTGGTTCAGTAATAAAATCATTTCCCAATGAAAATTTGGCTTTAGAAGTTTATGGAATAAAGCAAGCAATGGTTGGTTTATACAGAGCTCTCTCAGCATTCACAGCTTCAGACGTCTAATTTACCTTCACATCTCTGAACTAGTAACTTGGATTGTGTATGTTTTAGAGTCATGTTAGAGGATTTTCTGTTTAACTAATTATGTCTTTCTCCCATTTTCCATCTCTTATCAGTTCTTCCTGGGAAATCAGGTATAAACAGTGGAATGTGTTACGGAGTTTCTAAGTACTCTCTTAATGCTTTATCATTTCAGCTTTTAGTAGTCTGTCCTTCCCTCTCCTTTCACCTTGAGCTAATTCATTCTTAGTCAGCTGTGGTGCCTCTCTGGAAATGCTTAGCAGATTTTCTTGTTTTGGGAGTTGCCTTTTTTTTTTTTTCTTGTTGCTGCCTCATTAATGAAATTACTTTAAAGGGAACCAGATAATAGATTGTGAGAATTCGTAAATGCCATCAATGTTCTTCCTGTGGCTTACACAAAGGAATTTCTATAATTTTTTGCTAAGATTGATATATGGGGACTTTCTAGCAGTAACCTTTATGGTTTCCGTGCTGCATCCATGCCACCAGATAATGTAGTACCATGCTCTTTTAAAACCTTTGGGGAAAGTTTGGATCAATTAGAAATTAGAAAAATGAATTACACCCCAGTGTGATAAAAGCCACTCCAGTGTGAATAGGCATCATAAAGGCAGTATCCCAGATTAGTACTGTTTTTCCCTGTTAGTTCTCTCTATTTTCTTAATAATAACTCAATTCCAGACTACCACATTGCCTATTTTTTAAACTCAGTATTATTTGCTATCATTGCAACATTATCACATCATGCAAAATGGGATTAACTGTACAACTGAGGGAGCTAGTTCTATTCTGGACAAAAAGGCCCTAGCAAAGCTGAAAGAGAGACCTTCCTAGAACCAAAATTTGAATTACTTTATCAGTGCCATAGTTGTCCACAGCATATTGTTATCAACTTTTCAGTAGTGCCCATTTCAGATTAGATGAAGCTTGAATAATAATTTGTCACCAGAATTCAGCTGTGCACTATTAACATGTGACATTTCATCAGACAACATAATTCTGTGTAGTCTTACTTACGAAGTCCATGTAGTAAATCATATCTCTTTAGAATTTTATTTCATCAGTAGTGAGTACTTGTGAACTTTCTTTGCCTTCTGCATCATGGCAGAGCTGCGTTTGCTCCAAGCTCTGCAAAAGAATAAAGTACACGGGGGAGGTGGATCGTTAAAAAGCTACACATGGAACTATTGGCCTTGTGAATTCCAACAAATAGGGTACGAGTGTGTATCCTTTTAGGGTAGACTTCCCCCCCCTCCCCCGGAGCAATCTGGTCAATTCTTCCTTCACTCTAAGTAATGGGGCTAGATGAGTGCCACAAAGTTAAACAATAACTGTTTGCTCCCTGTCCCAAATAAACCAGTAGATACGGGAGTGTTTTTCACCTTCTCACTACTGCAGCATTTGGTCAGAGTGATGCCTGAGCAGGATGGGTTAGGGATTATATGTTATAATAACAAAGAGTTTCATGAGATACCTGTATCAGTCACAATTTGATCTAGTGCAGGGTTTGGGAGGGAAATAGTAAACACAACTAGTGAGCATTGTAATGGAGGGAAGAGGTGTTTCCAAACCAGCCTCTCGGTGCTTGGAGAAGTGGAATGGGAACTGTTCTTGGGTCCACCTGACCCAAAGGCTTTATTGGGTTAGGAGTTTCCAGTATGTCACTGGCATTCTGGTGGGGTGTGTTGGCAAAGGTGAGTGAAGAGTTTAAAGCTTGGAGCAATTCAAAAAATGGAAGCTTGAAGAGGCATCATCCCTATTGACATACCCTAGGGTTAATAAGTTCCTGCACTGGGAGAGCAAAAGGTAGTTGAATAGATCTTTTCAGCTGCAGGTCAGCATTAACAGAGTTGTGACTTTAAACACAAAGTGTGCATGTCCTCCTTCCAAGATCCTGGAGTAAATCCTTCCCAGAGCTGTTCAGAATAACCATACTAAGAAGGACCATTTTTCCAGAGGATTTGATTTAAATAGAAGTTGCTGCAGCATAAACCATTGAATGGAAAAGATGGCACCTTGTTACAAAGCCATTTTATCCTTATTTAGAGGGTTACATTGTATACACTTCAAATTTGCATTTTTGCTTATTAGTAATATTTTGGATTAACGAATTCAGTTTTTTGTGTTTTCCTGTTATTTGGTTCCCCAAAGTAATATGCCTTCCCCCTTTGCTTAAGCAGTATCTCAATGAGGTTTTTTTAAAATGAGATCAATTGTATGATTTGGATTGAAATCATTTGCGGGACAAGTAGTGCTGTAAAAGCATCATTTACTTGAAAGAATGAAGTTCTGCATTTTACTGAAGTTTAACCTTTGGTTTGGATGCTCCATGTGTCTGTTTAGGCAGGAGGTGGCCTTAAATATCATCAGTCTGGATTTATTTAATCTTTGTGAATAGTTTTTTGTGAAATTGTGAGATCTTTCCTGTAGTCAGGAGTATCAAGTGAACTTAATCAGTGAAAGTTTGCATAGGATGGACTGATAAGTTGGAAGAGAAAGGTTTCTGTATTGATAAGGGTTCAAATGATGCAGCCATGAGATCCATGCTATACTACTACATTTCCCAGTGCAGCAAGAAACAAAGAGCGGCCATGTCTTCTCTTCCCACTGTACTGTCCCTTACCTGTTGTAACAAGGTGTGTTGCAGGTGTATTGCACAGTGGATGGAAAGGAGAATGACTGATGGTATTGGGAAAGGATTTGGCAGAAGAAGCCATAGCTACCTCATCTCCTAGCATAGCAGGGAATGTAAGGGTATGCCATGAATCTCCAAGTTGCTACCTGATATCCCTAGCTTTTGATTCAGCACATTACTTTGCACTGAGAACAGAAGTGCTGCACTGATAAGTACATTGGAAATCTTGGAGCCTCTTCACATGTTGCTTTTTTTGACACACCATCTACAGCTCATGTGGGTTTGAAGTATATTTACATAGAACACTTTTGTGGCTTTTCTCTCATTCTATTTGCCACTTTTTCCCGATGGCCAGTTTCCCACAAGTGCTGCTCCAGGCTCGCTCTTCCCTTTTGCCCCGATGGTACGTGTCAATTTCACATAAGCTGCTGTGCGGCCGCATCATGCCCCGCAGCTTCACGTGATTTCCCCCGCATCTACTCAGTCCTCAAAAAAACAGGATTGAGTAGAGGCAGGGGAAATCACGCAAAACTGTGGGGCAAAATGTGGCCGTGCAACAGCTTGTGTGAAATTGACACGTACCATCGGGCAAAAGAGAAGAGCGAGCGAGGAGCAGTGCTTGTGGGAAATCGGTCTATGTGTGTATTTATGGGATGAGAAAATAAGTTTTTAGCTTTCTTGAATGAGTCTTTAGATTAATCCACAGTGTTGCAGATATTGACAACAGAATAGTTGAATTCTTGGTTCACCAGTGAATTTTGCATAAAGTAAAAAAAATCTGTTTTCATTTTGTCACAGTTAAATAATTAGTTAATCAGAAAGAACATATTAAAGGGCTTTAAAACTTTTCATGAATTATATAGTTGGGAAAAAACTGTTTCAAGGCTACTTGACAGACATATTTTGTAGAGGTTGTACTGGAGGCTCCCAGTGTGTTTTCCATGTGCTGTGGGCACAGTTAACATTTTTTTAAAACTTTGATACCAAATACAGTTGTGAAACCAGGATGGAGAAGTAGTATGTACTGGTTGCCTGGAAGTGGCAATAGCTTGGAGTGCATGTTACATTCAAAGAAGCCGTATCCAACAGATGTTTATTACACTGGCATATAGTGAAACAAGAACTATGCGGGGACAAAGGGGATCAAAAATATGGTAGCTTGCATGCATGAAGAATGTTGTTCCATCCCACACATCAAGTGAGGTGGATAGAGGAAGAGCAGAGTTTGGGGACAGTTCCAGGAATGGGAAGGCACCTGCTCACCCCTGTGCTAGGTGTGAAGCCAGGGCAGGAAGGGAGGGTTTAATGGCCTGGTAGGCACGATATCACTCCCTTTGGGGGATGGGGATGACCCACTGCCTGTCATGGCAACTGTTCTGAGAAGCGGAGCCACGCAGGGCTGTTAACAGGAGTTTTAACATTAAACGTATACGTTCTAAACACACTTTTCAGTGGGTAAGTTTCTTGACATCATTTCTTCAAGATTGCTTGATATGAGCTCTTTAATGCCAGAGTTACTGATGCAATAATTTTATGTATTACATTACTAATGAAAAGATACCAAACACAATCAACAGTCCAGCATAAAATTCAACCTAGTGGCATACACTTGCTCTCTTCCTTCCCTTCTTTCCCCCACATAATTTCATTGCTGCTTTTTGGATTAATGCAGTTGCATTCAACTTAAAAACAACCTTGACCTATGTGCATAATGAAAATATCTGGTAATTTTGCTACTAATTATTAGGGAGCATCTTGTGTGTGGCTAATTTTAACCCACTTGGCTTGAAGCCGACATTGCCTTTGTGAACTTCACAGGAAAACTTTAGCATGTTTTCCTATTTTCTGCACAGTTTGGTGACTCCCAGCAACTCCGTCTTGTCCGTATTCTGCGAAGCACTGTTATGGTTCGAGTTGGAGGTGGATGGATGGCATTGGATGAGTTCCTAGTGAAAAATGATCCTTGCAGAGGTATGTAAGAAGACCTTAGATACAAATAATCAAGATCATTGCTACTGTTGTAGATTCTTTGGGGAGGTTGTGTATGTGTATACAGGAGGAGATGTGTATAAATCTGGTGACTGATTAAGCAGTGATTCATTCACAGTGTTCTACACACACACACACATCTTATTATTTAAACATGTGCATTCTAGAGGAAACATAAAGCCTGGTTACACATTACTGTCACCACAAAGGAGCTTTAACTATCTGTTGAGAATTCTAAAGGGTCAGTTACCAACAGGCAGAGACTACTGGAGAGGATAGACATCGTACACAGAGGGAACAATGAGCTGCTGCCTCTCTGTCTTTATTCATTGTTTATCTCCCTTTATCTGTCTTCTTAATTTTCTTTTTTCTTGCCCCTGCCCCTAATAGGGAGGATAAGGTGAGTTAAAAACTGGAGGGCTGAAGATAGCCAGCAGCCTCTCTTTTTTCGGGTGCATAACTGTGAGCAAACTACACGTTACTATTTTTAAAGAGTTGGGTGCAGGTTCCCTGGACTCAACTTATGATCTTCTTCATGGTCTCTGTGCATCACACCTATGGGATTACGTGCCTGTGGCGATCCGAATCGGTGATGTACAAAGCTCACAACGAGATTTTCACACCTCCCTCCCAGGCATGCGCAGGAACCCCACTGCGCATACCCAAGGAGGCAGGGTGCAGACGTCCCGCCAGTTCTCTTCTGACCACCACGCTGTTAACAGCTCGTTTTCTACTGGTCGGTGAGAAAGTACTTGTCTCTCTTTGAGGGATTGCTCACTGTTTGTTAGTTCTCGTGTTTTTTGTTTTTTCCTTCTTCTGCTAAATATATTTGTTTGAGGGACACCACTGCCTCTGGCGGTTTCCCGCCCCTCCCCCCCTCTCTGAGGTATATTTTATTTTGCCTCATGTGAGGGCTTCTTTTTCTTTTTCCTTTTTGTGCCATATTTTTGTTTTATGGCCAGAAAGTGGGGGTGTTTCAAAAGTTGTGGCGGGTGTGGCAGCAAACTTGCCCTTAACGACGGCCACGCACTTTGTATTATTTGCCTGGGGGAGGCCTTTTCCAGAGAGTGCGTTTGGACCTGCTTGCTGTTGACCCTGATAGGCTCATTGTCCAGAGACTTGCTGTCACTGCGCCAAATTTTCCAACCAGATCTGAAAAACCTGGGCCACAAGGCTTCAAGTGGCGCTCTGGGAATCCGCTTTGGCTCCCTTGCCTGTTGACAATATGTCTGCAGAGGCCCCTTCAGTCGTACATCCGACAGAGCCCGCATAGATATCAGAATTGTCGACGTCGATCCCTCCTCGTCCTAAGGTGGCATCGGATGTGGGTACTTCTTTAAAACATCCGGCACCAACAGGGACTTCCTCAGCCTCAACCCCGGCTAAGAGGAACAAGAAGGAGAAGCATGACAAAAAAAGTCTGCTTCGAAGAAGTCCACGCATAAGCCCCACAGTTTGAGCGGCGTTGGTAAGCAAACGGGCTCTGCTCTACCCCCTATCCAGCAGGTGCAACCCAAGGTCGCCGACCCTCCTGAGCCAGAGCTGCCTGTGATACCATCGATAGAGTTACTGGACTCGCCTATACAGCAGCTGAACCCCCTGGTATCGGAGGTTTCCGTTGGTGCAAGACTGATATTGATCTCCCCGTTGGAGGACGAGGACGTGGTTCCACGCGGACCTCATAAGGACCGTTCGCCGTCGGTCTCTTCTTGGGCTAGTGATCAATTGGTCTCTTCTTGGGCTAGTGATCAATCTCAGGCGGACTCTCGATATCAGTATCCTCGATCCAGATCTCCTAGGCGTGGAGAGCATCGGTATCGCTCAGAGGCATACCCTGAATACCACTATTCCAGGCTGAGACTACCCTACTCGCCAAGGCGGGAGTCCAGACCACACTCCCCTACCTATTTTGAGCTGCCCATGCCACCGTCGTGGAACTATCGGCAGCACATGCCTTATTCGTTCAGCTCTTATCCAATGTCGACATAGATGTCGTGGGTGACTCCTCAGCCTCATTCAGATTGGGACCGCAGATCATGATGTTCTCACTCTCCTCCATGGAGGTCCAGACCTTCCATGACCGTCTCTAAGCCTCCGGAGGACAGTCGTTGCTCTCCTTCTCTGCTCCGTCCTGTGCCTACGTTGCCATCACAGACTGGCCCTGTAGTGGCCACTCCTACTCGAGTGCCAAAAATTCCATCACTGCCAGCACCAGTGTCACCTTCCGGATCTTTGGACTCCGATTTGGACACTGACGTTTCAGATCAGTCTGAGTCACCTGAGGACCTTCTGCCAAACCCTGCGGTATCAGACAACCTCCCTATATCTCCATCCGAAGACCTCTCTTCTTATGGAGACTTAATCAAACGCATGGCGCATTTGCTAGGGCTCTCGATTATCCAACCCCTACCGTCGGTATCGGGTGCCATCTTTGATGTCATGCAGCTAGTTACCTCCACATCTATCACTCTTCCAATGTCATCCGTGCTACTCCAGGCAGCTAAGGCTTCATGGGAGAAACCATCTTCGGCTCCAGTGTCCTCTAGGTGACTGGATCATATGTACCGGATTCAGGAGACGGAGGCTGAATTTCTCCAGGTCCACCATAAACCCAATTCTATGGTCGTGTCATCTTCCTCAAAGACCAAACGTACCTTAGCTACTCCTTCAGATAAAGAGAGTAAAAAACTAGATTCAGTGGGCCACCATTTTTATTCCGCGCGAGCTCTTGGAATTAAAATTTCAAACTACATCGCATGCACGGGCCGTTATGAATACTCGCTCTGGGAGCGTTTTACCAACCTTTTGTCATCAGTACCTGAGGAGAAGTGTCAAGAGGCCAGGAAACTGCAAAAGAAAGGATTGTTACTTTCCAAACAAATCATAAACTCTTCCAAACATGCCTTAGATACATTTTCAAACACAATGTCTTCTGCAGTAGCTCTTCAGAGACATTCCTGGCTCAGAACCACCTTGCTCCCTGCTGATATGAGGGCTTACATAGAGGACTTACCTTTTGATGGCCAAGGGCTCTTCCATACTTCCATGGATTCGTCCTGCAGGAAATGGATAAAAACATTAAGGCCTCTATGTCATTAGGAGTCACTGGTCCCTCTAAGCCTTTTCGGCCTCGATCTTGTTCCCAGAACAGTTTTCGACTTTTGTATAATAAACCATCACCAGATGGGAGCTACAAACCATGGCAGTCTCCATCTGGAAGCAGACAACACTATCAGCCCAGACAAAGGTATGGTACTGGACAACAACAGACCAGACCAAAACAACCTAAATCAAACAAACAGGGCCTTTGACTTGGTCCTGCCTACACTTACAGACCCTACCCATCTCTATGCTTATTTACATGCCTGGACTGCCATTACTTCGAACTAATGGGTCCTTTCCATCTTGACCACCGGCTATTCCATCGAGTTTATAGCGCTTCCACCCCTTTCTGGGGTAGTCACCACACCCCCGTCGTCATTCTTCCTCGAAGAAGTAACCACACTTTTATCGAAGGGTGCCATAGAACCTGTGCCTCTACACCACCAGGGCCTCAGGTTTTATTCCCAGTACTTCATGGTACCCAAAAGGGACGGTGGACAGAGGCCGATCTTAGACCTCCGTGGCCTCAACGCCTATATACAATGCCGGAAGTTCAAGATTACATCCCTGCAGGTCATTCTACCTCTCCTGTCCCAGGGTTGTTGCTTACCTGTAACTGATGATCTTCGAGTGGTCAGCAGACTAAGGTAATCGTAGAAGTATTTTGTTTGCCCCAGTAGCTGGCAGGCAGGTAGGATGCACAATGAGCTCAGTTTGCACTTGGTTTTGAGTGTGGCACATGCAAACTACTTAAGGGGGGGGGGAGTGACAGGGAGAGTCCCTGAAGCTGTCACAGCCACACTGCTCTGCCACTTCCTTCTTCTGTTTGGTCTTCTTTGGTCACCTTGCTTCCCCTCAATAGGCTCACCCATAGAGACTGGCTACACTCACGCGTACTGTAGTCTTAGCATATGAAATGCTGTGCTGGAGCTGTACTCATCAGTCTGGTAACTTCGTGCACATGCATGAGTTACTAAGTTCAGGCATGTTCAGTAACTGAATATGCTTCTGCTGACTTGTGCTGAAAAATAATACTGGTGACTGGCCCAATGGTCAATAGAAAACAGCTCAGCCATGTATTTAGGAGGTTTTTTCTGGTCAGTTAGCAATGTGAGACAACAACCATTGAGATGTCACAGCACATACAACAGAAGGATGGCCTCTGAGAGAAACCTGAGTGTCTGGAAGGGGCAGACTGGGATGGAGTACTAGAGAAACACTAAGCTAAATTTAGGTGAGGGTGTTTCCAAGCCCCCGTGTTGCATCCTAGTATGTATTGTATATGATTCTCAACTCATAGGGAGAATGGGAAAATTCAAGGTGAATGGTAAGTATTACTGCTTGCTGATTCCAGGTGGAATAACAGTAATGAAAAAGGGATAGCTACTTTTATTTTATGAAAATATGTAGGGACAGAGGTTATTATTTGTCTGTTTAAGTGTTCTTTATTTTTAACAGTGCTGTAAATTCTTAGTGAGAAGCTGTAAGTTTAGAAATGAAAGTTGCATTTGTGGTACTATAACTATTTCTTGGCATATATATGTATATAGTTTTCCTTTTATCAAGCTAATTCAATTTTATCCACTCCCCATTTTATCAATTATACTCCTAAATGCAAAACCAAGGACCCTTCTGTGATCCTAAAGATTTACAAGTAGGGTTAAGAAGAGGAGTGAACTAATGAGAAATCTCCCTCTATGTAGCTGAGTCTCATTTCACATTCCAGTTGTACTGGAATAAGTGAAAGCAGGCTGAAGAGATAGTTGTATAGTCTGCACTGAAAATCCAACTAATTACATCATCACATCTCACATTCCACTCTATAGAATCGAACAGGGCATGTGGCTTTTAGAGATCTGACTCTGATTATAATTGACTGCTGCAGTCATACAGCTAATCAAATGAAATAAGGACTTTTTCTGGTTCAATAAAAAGCCAATTAATGAACCTTTCTCTCCCCTTCTTTGATTAAGAGCAGCCTGTGTCTGAATATAGTCATATAATTCCTTAGACCCACGTTAAAAACAAATGTACCATGAAAAGGTGAAGTTAAAAGGTATGGATCTTCTTGGTACACATGTGTATCAAAAGAGTTCACATAAATAACTGGTATATAGTTATATGCATAAATTCTTTGCATATTGATGCCAGGAAAAGGTCAGATGGAACTCTTTATTGGTCCTTGAGTACAGGGCATCCATGGGCCTTCCTTCCTCTTCCCCATTTTGTGATCACCACCACCCTTGCAAAGTCCAGTTATGCTGGAAGGTGCAGAGTTAAATTTTCTCATGTTTCCATTTTTTCAATTTTTCCTTAGTACCTATGGGTCTAAAAAGGGCTCTGAATAGTTTTACATATTCCCTGCACTGCTGCTTCTCTGTCTGGAAGAAGGGAGATTGATGCAAAGGCCTCCAGGCTGATTGGGGGAGGTGCTTGGAGGAGACAGCAGTGTGTGGTTCTTTTGCACTCTGCTAACTCCTGTTCCACCAGGCACTTCTTCCACTGGGAAGTGGGATGTGGTCCCTCTACAGTGGGAGTGGACCTCAGTGCCTGGTTATACTGACTGTTAATATCAGGCTTACAACAGGACTTGGTATATTCGTTGTTTGACTATAAAATAGCACTTGCTGGAAATAACTAAATGAATGAGGCTTGAAATCCCAGCAAATTATCATCAAGTGGTCCCTCTACAATGGCAGTGGACCTCAGTGCCTGGTTATACTGACTGTTAATACCAGGCTTACAACAGGACTTGGTATATTCGTTGTTTGACTATAAAATAGCACTTGCTGGAAATAAATAAATGAATGAGGCTGAAATCCCTGCAAATTATCACCAAGCTTAGCGTAACCAGGGTACAAGGGAACCTTTACCTTTACCTTAGCATAACCAGGGTGGAGCACCTCAACGTCAGGGAGTTCAAACATGAGAAGACTTTTGGTTTTGCCCATAGTTGAGAAGGTTTTTGGTTGTTTTTTTAAAGACATTTTCACTAAAAAGTGTGTGTAAGGTTTTCAATATCAGTGGATATGAATCTAATTTTACAAAAATGTTGGTTTACTTTAACAGTACAAACATTCTTCCAAAGGTCAACAGACTTTCTGCAGGAAAAAACTTCTCTGCAAATGAGAGATGCAAGAATAGCATACCTCTGTTGACCTGACTAAGAAAATTATGTATATGTGGTGTCTGTGTGTGGACCTGCTGAGGTCAGGGGTGAACTGCAAGCAAATAACTGTTGACTAAATGGGGGTGGGCTGGCTTAATAACTACCCACATTCCATTATATTCAAACACTATGTTGAGCACTCATTTCATGCAACACAAGATTGCATATTTATTTTCCACTCCCATCTTTTCCTTGTTTTGGCAGGGAAGCCATTTTTGGCACAGATGACATTGGGGCTGTCTAAAACTAAGATTTTACCAAAAGTGTTCTACTTTTGCTGAAGAGAACTCTGGTTCTTCGTGAGAACTTCTTACCACTTAAGACCTGTCTCTTGGCCTGCAGCTTTGAATCTCTCGCATATGCAACTGCTATAATTGATTTCTTCTCCTGCTAACGGTTTTCTTTAATATGACCCATATCCTGTGTCATTTTTTCTAGTTCATCATCACGGGAGTAAAATGTTACGTTCGGAATCAAACTCTTCAATTACCACTCAGCCTACTATAGGTTGGCAAACCCCTCTCTTTTGTCTCTCCTGTTCTTATGTTCTTTTCCATTTCCTTCCCACTTTGCTTTGAGATATATATACATACAGATATATATATATATTTAACAGAACGCTTCACGTAATCAGATTTTTTTTAGCTTAACACTTCCTGCACTGGCTGGTGCTTGAGAGCTTGCCTATAAATTTCCTTTGATACACTTGAAGAGAGTGTTTCAAAAGCATTTGCTGTTAACATAGAGAAAGCCAAACGCTAACCTGTCTAGACATCTGGTCCTTATGGAAGGTTCTTATGTTTGCATCTTCACCTGTGTGTGTCTGCCCAGCATCCAGTTTCTTCTTTATCATTTGGAAGTTTCTGTTTGTCATTGCATGCTGCCAAACTGCATTACTTTATAGTTTAGAGTTAATATGGTTTATTCTTTACGTTCAATATTTATTCATCATAGCCAGCATCTGAGTCATCTGAGCGAGTATGAGTAGCTGTAGCATTAGTCAAATGGGTCTTCAGGTTGTGTCTGTGCACTGGTATACTGAGTAGCATGTCGAGCCATTCCATTATCATGCTGATTTATGTTGACTTTGCTGGCATAATGCTGGCATAAAATGTTAGACTACGCATATTCTAAAAATGAACTCTTTTGTCTCAACCAAATACATTATTTGCTAATGTGTTTGATTTGTGTGGCCTACTTGTGTGACACTTTGCATCACTGACAGCATGAAAGTGGATGTACAGAAATGATTATATTTCTTGATTTCTCTTCTTCATGTGTTATAGCAAAAGGAAGAACAAACATGGAGCTACGTGAGAAGTTCATGTTGGCCGACGGAGCCAGCCAAAGTATGGCTGCCTTCCGACCAAGGGGGCGTAGATCACGACCATCTTCACGGGGTGGTTCACCCAACAGATCCACTTCTGTGTCAAATCCACCTGCCCAAACAGCTCCAACAGCATCTGTTGCTACCAGCACACCCAAGGTATGTCTCGTGCACTGCAGCATTGAATATGTCAGTTAATAAAATGAGACCAAGAGTGCTACAATTTCCTATAGTGTTGCTTGATAATCAGTAGGGAAGTTCTTAATTCTTCTGTTTTTTAAAGAAAGCTAACAAAGTTTTTCATTGTTTCCCTGCTTACAATTGCAGCCGTCATGCAAGCCTGGAAAAAAACATGTAAGCTAATTGGAAACCTGAATAAACTTTTAAAATGAGAAAAACATTAACCCCACCACTTGCATTTTTAAAAGCGCACATACATCCTCCTTTGTGTAGAATGTGTGTTGTCAGTTTTTCCTGCTTTTGTTTTGGTGTCTTCTGCTTTTGACTTTGATTGAGAGATTCGTTCTCCTTAATCTAAATATTCCGCTCCATGACACTGTGTTCCATCAACTGTTCTTCACCCTTGTGATTTGCCGTTGTTCCATACAGACACCCCATCATTTAACACGCAACTATGGTAAACCATGGTTGATAAACAGCAAAACGACATCTTGTAAACCACCAGAGTGCTCTGAATATCAAGTGTCATCCACGGAGGTACAGTAATGGATGGATATTCTAGTCTAGTCTAACAAAAATTTCCTTCACTAAAGCTATCCTATTAGCTAACAGTCACTACAGTTCTTCAACTGTGCATATTAATACACTATTATTTGTTTTCAGTCTTCTGCCCAACAATGTTATTTTTCTCTCTCTTTTTAAGCCTATAAATTGATCGGTCTTTAATGTGCTTTTTATGTGTGATCGTTGTTTATTTTCTACTAGAGATTTGTCAAGTATCTCTTTAATACTATAAATAACCACAAACAAAATTACAAGTTGTTCCATACATATGGAATTTCAGGTACACATAACCCAGATGATGCAGTTTGTGTTCATTTTCTTTCTCTTACTAAGATTCTCCTGCCTTTTCATTAGACCTGATAAACAGTTCTTCAAAACAAAAGAGCTCTCAAATTCGTGCACTAACACGTAATTCCACTATTGTTTTACCTGCATGTTTCCCCTTGACTTTCATGACCCACTGGACTTTGTTTGGTAAATAGATCACAATCCTACATAGAGTTTGCAGACTATGAAATCTGTGCATTTAAGCATAAGCATCAGACTACAGTTTGTTTGTATTTGGTTGCACCCCTAAAGGCTGAAGATGGGGGACAACAGTAAAATAAATATTTGATAAACCCAGAAATAAATATCTAGTGAAACACAAAACACGATAGAATGACAAAAATGAAACTATCCCATTCCTCCTTGAGCCCAGCCACTAAAAGCAAGTTGAAATAAAAATGTCTCATGTAGCATCTGGAAAATGTTCAGGATCAAACTTCAATAGTTCTCCAAAGTGAAAAGTCCCATAGGCATAGGGGAAAATCACTGTACAAGTATCTCTTCATGCCATTGTGGTATGCACAAATAGTTTAAAAACTGTGTTTGAGATCAGTTCTTGGATTATTATAAAAGATGCAACTGAAGATAGGGTAGTAGGCAGTCTTCAAAGTTTGTGCATGTATAGGTCGTCAAAGATGTAAAATACATTAAAGATTGCAAGGTTCTCCTTTGATTCAATAATAAAACTCCTAAGTAAAAGATAAATGGAATCAATTAACTTCTCCTGCTACTTTTATATAATTCTAAATTATTTTAGGATACATAGCACATGGATGGTTAGTGCAGGGAGGAATGTCTTACTGCTAGTCTTGCTTGTTTGTCTGTTGTACATCTTTAGAAGATTTCCAGTTCTAGCACTATCCCTCAGATTCTTTACACCGCTGAATTTATAGAATGTTTTATTGCTTTGCTTACTGAGAAGACAAAACACACAGCTGTCCTCATTCTCTCTGCCACAGTATGTTTCCTTCGCATGTAGGATTATTATTAGTAAATACCCGTAAGATATAAAAAATAATGTAGGATATTAATTGCTGACTTTGAATATAATGGTTGCTTTTTCTCTGGCTCCTTGGTTGTCAAAATGTAGCTATAAAGCTGACTTGATTATACTAAAGTTATATGGAGAAAGGTATACTGTCATTGCCAAAGCTAGTCATTTATTGAAGAAACTGGGCATTCATTTAATTGCTCCCCCATGTGGAACTTAATTAGCCTTGCTGACTATGTATTGATCCTTCAAAGCCTTTGCTTGTAGTCTGGAATTCCAATTCCGTACATTGCCTCTTGATAGTGAAAATGTGCATTAAGAGAAGAAGGCTTAGAATGCAAGAGTTCAAAATCTTTTTAATACTGTGACCAAAGAATCCTTGAAACATTACATTCCTCATCAGTAGCCTCATCATGCTTTCCTTTCTCTGGTTTGTATCTTGGGTGCCCCTGTAGGCCTAAAATATGTGAGCTCAGTAAAAATGAGCTTATTTCAAACCATTACTAACCACAACTGTCAATATGTGTAAGTTTTGCCAGACACTAACTAGTTCATTATTGCCATCGGATAGGTCTGTACAACTTCCAGGGGGAATTCTCTTAAGAACACTGTACTCTTAACCAAAGTTACAAACTGATTCAGTTAACAAATTACAGTGGTAGCAAAAATCCATGATAAATATTTTGTTTTCCATTGGCAGGAAGTATTTTTGGCAACAGAAAGGGGTGTATGGTTTTGGCCATTTTCCTTCTCCCACTGTAGATCCCCACATAGCGCCCGCCCTGCCCCCGTTCCCAGGGCTCCACTGCTCTCTAGGGACAAGATTTCAGAGGAAACACCAAGATGCATGGAGAGGGGGATTGGAACATTCAGTGAGCACTGTTATGCTTGTGCAAAATAGGATCCATGACATAGTGATCAACTTACTATGTATTATTACTCTTTGGTTCCTTTTCCAAATCATGTCACTTTTCAGAACAGCCTTTCCTTTCTCATGCATGTTCCAAAGAAGATGGTATGGATGGAATCCTGAATTCAGTTCTACTTGATATGGATCTTCACATAGTTTTTTTCACTCATTTAATTTTGTGTCTAACAGGGGACTCCAATACAAGGGAGTAAACTTAGGTTGCCAGGATATCTATCGGGGAAGGTTTTCCATTCTGGAGAAGACAGTGGTCTAATCTCAACAGCAGCTACAAGAGTCAGGGCACATTTTGCAGGTGAGTGCTAGCGTCCTTGGAGCTGTAAAATCTTATCTGGCGCAAACAGGTTGGCTGATGTATACACACAGATTGCAGTTGGGATGCTATTAGCATGGTTGCATCAGGTCCAAAATCACTTCTTCCATATGGCTTTGGATGCATGAAGTTTTAGAACATTTGAACTTGTGCCTAGCATTCAGTCTGATTGTTCATTGAAGTTATTATTATACTACTCTCATAGCCATAAGGGTCTCAAGGTGATGTACAAAGATAAAATTATCGTACCTCTTTCTTGCTTTTGCTTCTTCATAACCATATTATTTGAGTTGCAGATCATCTACTTTGCTCTTTGTTGAAATATCAACCATTCAGTAAAATGCACAATGTTTGCTATCTGCCTGTGATAAACTGTTGCCTCCTCCTCCTCTTTGGCAGATTGATGTGTAAAGGGTCCTATTATGTGGCAAGGATTTGATTTTCAAGAGGTTCTGGTTCCTTGTAGACTTGCAATTTATGCAGGGTTGGAACTGTGTCGCTATTTGTACAGTGCCATCCACATGTGTGGTGTTGTACAGAACACAGGGAGACAAGTCCATGCTCTCCTTAGGGAGAGACAACCTAAAATTCTCAGGAGTGGAAAATGGTCAGTAAAATCAGTAAGAGTCAGTTTTTTTCATCTTGGTCAGTAATTTGTCAGTTTTTTAAAAAAATTGGTCAGTAAAGTCAGTATTTCTTTGATTTTTGTGAATGCAGTTTGTGTTTTTCTATTCTCATTACTGCATTTTTGGGGAAACATGATGACTTCCCAGTGAGAAGACAGATTGTTTTCAGTTTAGTTATAAAGTACTTTAAGGACTTTGTTCCTAAGAGTAAAAGTGATTTGGTGAAATCTTCCAAAAAGTATAGAAACATAACCGCTTAAAACATGAGGCAATGAAAGTAGAGATGATGGATATTGTGGGATTCAACATGGCACAGCTCATGCTAGAAGGAGTTGAGAAAGCAATGGAAGAAGAGGGCAAGGGGGAAAATGCTTGTGGATGCAGTGCAGAAGACTGTTGAGAAACAAAAGAGTTTGTGAATAACTTTATTTATTTATTTATTCAATTTATACCCTGCCCTCCCCGCCAGAGCGGGCTCAGGGCTGCTTACAAGGAATTAAACATATAGGTAACAAATTATATACAATCTTAAAGCAATAAAACTCTACATTATCATAAAGTGCTAGTTGTCAGATTCCTGGTTAAATCAGTTCTCAACACCAGCCAGTTTGGAGAAAGCTAACTTTATTGAGACAGTTGATAGCGACCATCCTGGACACATCTATTGTTAGAACTGAAGTTAAACATGCGAAGGCTACAGATATAGGGAATTCAAGTAAAAGTACTAAAGATCAGGACCCAATCACCCCCCCTGGCATTTGCCCATCAGAACTTACCGTCAGCTCCCCCCCTTCCCCCTATAGGCACGTATCCTTACGCAGCAAGGAAACAAGAGCACAGACATTTGAGAAGCCAAGACATTTGGCATCATGAAGGTGACAAGCCCCAGACACTTCGAAGAGAGTGAGAGAGAGGAGCCTCCTCTCTCAATGACAGGCAAGCTGTAAACAGAGATGGCTTTTTCCAGAGGGGATGAACCACAGCTTACTTGAGTGCCCTAGGGAACTGTCCCTCCGAGAGGGACTTGTATATAATATCCCTAAGGGCATCTCGAAACCCATCACGGCCAGCTTTAATTAGCCATGATGGGCATGGGTCAAGGCAGCACGTGGTAGGGTGTACAGTTAAGAGCAGCTTGTCAAATTTCTCCAGACTGAGCGGACTGAAATAATCCATAACCTGACTAGAAGACATGCATGGAGCCTCGAGTTCACTTACTGTCTCATCTGTGGCTAGGAGGTCACGGTGGACCGACAGGACTTTATCTGCAAAGTAGCTCGCAAAGGCCTCACAGCCAGTGTCCCGTTCCCTAACATTTGGTCTGCCTTGTGGCAGAACAGTCATAGACCGATTTATTCTAAATAATTAGGCTGGGCATGAGCTCACAGAGGCAATCGTGGCTGCATAATACTCTCAACAGCTCTGACCGCCATCTCATAAACGTCCTATAAGATGTTCTTGTGGCTTCATCGTAGGAGCACCACTACTGTCTCTCTAGGCATCTTAGCCATTGCTTCATCAGCCACAACTCCTGGGTAAACCAAGGAGCCAGCCTAGAGTGAGGGCGCAGAGGGCGTCGGGGAGTGATCTCATCAATGGCTGCCAAGAGTCAGCTATGCCAATCCTCCACAAGCTCATCTAATGAACTGCCAGGGGGCATCAGATCCCGCAGGGCCATTTGAAGCCACATAGGGTCCATTTGGGTACGCGGGTGAGCTGAAATCTGCTCACCGACCAAACAGGGTTGGGGTGAAACATTCAGATGGGTCTTAAGGGCATGATGGTCCAACCATGGCACTGCTGAGACAGTGATCCAGTCCACTGTGACCCCTGCCACAAAGATCAGATCGAGCATGAGTCCAGCCTGGTGAGTGGCAGTCATTACATATTGGGAGAGTCCCAGTGCCACCATGACATTAGGTCAATCACCTGAGTGGAGACCACATCGTTCGCATGGACATTGAAGTCATGCAGGACAATCAGCCTATGGTGTTCCAATGCCCAGCCTGACACGGCCTCCACCAGGGATGGCAGGCTGCTGGCTGGCTCTTTTTTATCAAAAAAACAAAGATAAAGTAAAAGCAAAGACAGTCTTAATTTACAGTCTTCCAGTTTTGGCGACTTGCATGGCAACTCTAATGGGGGTGGCCCGTGACACGGCAGATGGGAGGGGGGCTGGTTGACCCAGAACCCCCCCTGGAATCCTTGTAGTGAACTCCCAGCCTGGGGTGCAAGAGGTGCCTCTCCTGAGGCCACGGCAAAGGGATCGAGGCTCCCCTTTGCCCCGATAGGTCCCACCGTCACAGCACCATTATGGCTTTAAGAGGCATACACCAGGTGAGCGAGCAAGTGATCAAGCGAAATTACAAAGTTTTCCCTACCTCTGCAGCCGGCATGGAATGAAGTATGAGTGCTATTTCTCTTTAACTGGTTGTGGTTAAGCATCCTTCCGAAGCCCTGAACTGTAATGACGCAGGGGGAGGGAGTTTGCCCCCCCACAACTTTAAACGAACTCTCTAAGCGACAGAAGGGGCTAGAGGCAATGGCAATTCTGGATTGAATCAAGTAAAGTACAGATCCGTTTAAAGCAACTTCATAAATGAACTTTCAGTGACTTTTAAAAACTTTCTCTGAATTGTTAACAATGACCTCTCGGGCAGAAAAGATGGCGACGAGAGCACAGCACTCTTCCAGAACTGCAAGATCAGCGCATTCGGTTGCTAAACCAGTAGTGAATACTTCCCAATATGCTGGCTACAGCACTGCGCTCTCTGTTGGATCAGATGACTAACCATAACAATAACTTTGAAGCACTCCAAAATCAGCTGAAAGAGACTAATATAAAAACAGAGGAGACGGCAAAAGCAGTGAAAAAGGTTGAAGCCAAGTCAAAAGCAGTTCAACAAAGGCTGGAGGTAGTAGAGAAAGAGAGGATCTCTGACAAAGACCAACTTTTAAGACTCCACATCGAAAAATCAACTTATGTTCTAAGATTTCAAGGAGTTCCTGAACAGAGAGGTGAGAATCTGAAGGAAATCTTAAATGAAGCGTTGGCTCCAATGACAGGTTTAACAGCGGATGTACTACAAAGCGATATGGATATGATCTATCGGACATATCCAGAATCCTCCCCCTCGCACGGGCTCATCGGGACCAAGATTCATACTCCCCTCCTTCCCCCTCGAGCCTGCTGGAGGCCTTTGGATGGTAGACTCAGCCATACCCCACCTTCTGGAGTAGATATAAATTACCTGCCTACCATTTTCTTCTCACCTTGACACAGAGAGTACTCCATCTTTCTGTGTTATACCTCTGAGGATGCCAGTCACAGTTACTGGCGAAACGTCAGGTTCTACAGTGCCAAGACCACAGTCACACAACCCAGAAAATCTACAGCAACTAATTGTCCTCTATTCATTAAAAAAATTATAAAAAGGTGTGCAATCCTTTTCTCTGGGTCACATCTAACTATGAGACTGGCTATGGGGATGGTGGGGGCCAGATAATAATAATTTTTAATGAAGTCCTAGTTTTACATTTAAAACGCTAGCTTATCAGTAGGCTGACATTAAATTGTTCAGTAATTTGTCAGTGTTTTGTTGGTATTTGGTCAAGTTTTTTGGAGTTTTGGTCAGTAAAATCAGTATTTTTGACCCTCTGACTAGTTTCCACCCCTGAATTCTGGAAAGTTAGTTAACACAAGTGGAACAGAGAGGAACAGTTTGATGGAGGGGAATAATATGCTGTCATATTCTTGGTTTAAGTAAGAAAAAAAGAACTTTGGTGTTGTGCCAAAGATTTGACAGAAAAAGTTAGTTTTGTTGAATTTGAACGAAAAGGGTAACATCACATAGGTGTCCTAAGAGGCATAAGAACCATTCAAGGAGGAAGTCCACAGTTATGTGAAGGACTAGAGCAATGCTCCCTCTAAGCTCCACAGTGTTATGAGCGGAAATTCTAGCTCATGAGTGAAAAAAACTAGTAGCATTAAAGTTGTGAGCGAGTCTACTTGTGAGCAAGTCTACATTTGACTATCATGTAAATTAGTTTTTTAGAAGATTACTTCCATAACCTTGTAAAAATCTCAGAATAAATTCTTTTAAATGTATATTTTTAGAATAATACATACAAAACATAGAAACATGAAATATAAACTACTAGCTGTATTACAAGTCATATGTATAACTTGACTTATATTTGCTTTTAATATTTCATTTGACTGTCGCATACATTAGTTTTTTGTACTACCATAACCTTGTAAAAAGCTCAGAATGCATTCTTTTAGAACATATTTTAGGAAAGATTTAAACCTTAAACATTACAAGTGGAAACAGAATTAAGTCAAATTCCATTTAAAAGGCCACCAGAATCTGGCTGGGCAGTCTTGCAGACTTTATAAAGAGACAGAGAGAGGGATGGGAATGGATTTCCCTAAATGAAGCACAAAGAAAGCCAAACCCCCTTGCTCCATCCCCCTCCCATGGGCTGAATCCTTTGCCCCTTCCTTCACCAGCTTACAGTTGCTATGTCCCCCCTGGCGGGGGGGTGGGTGGAGGACTAGGTTGCCAGATCCAGGTTGGGAAACTCTAGGAGGTTTCAGGGACCTCAGTGGGGTAGAATGCCAAGTCCACCCTCCAATGCATCCATTTTCTCCAGGGGAACTGATCTCTATAGTCTGGAGATGAGATATTCCAGGGGATCCCCAGGTCCCACCTGGAGGCTGGCATCCCTACCCAATAATAACCATCCATGCAGGAAGTGCCATGGGTGGTTTTGGCCCTTGGGGCACAGCTTTCAGCAGCTAGCTTTTTTGAAAATTCTTCAATCCAACAGAAAAACTGAGGTTTGGAGGTGGAGTATGGGGAAGACAGGAACCTCAGTGGGGTAGAAAGCCGGTGTCCACCCTACAAAGCATCCATTTTCTCCAGGGGAACTAATTTATATGGAGCTGAGCTGTAGTAACTTGGGGGGATTCCCTGCCCAGGTCCCACCTGGAGGCTGGCATCTATGCTGGAAGCTTTGGATGGTGGGCTCAGGATGCACAACCCCCCCCCATGGGACTGCTGGAGTGAGGCCCTTGGATGGTGAGTGCAGTCCATGCACCCCCTTCCCTCCCAGCTGCGGGGCCAGGCTGCATGCTTCCCTTCTCCCCCCCCCCCCTCGAGCCTGCTGGAGGATCTTAGAATGGCGAGTGCAGGCTGGACGCTCCTTCCCAGCTCCCCCACACACAGACTTGTTGGGGCCAGGCCACACACTCTCCTCCTCCCCCGTCAAGCCTGCTGCCAGGCTGCACACTCTCTTCCTCTCCTGACGGCCCTGCTGGAGGACAAGTGCAGGCTGAGTGCTCCTTCCCGCCTCCCCCTCCCACGGGCTCATTGTGACCAAGCCGCATGCTCCCCTCCTATCCCCTTGGGCCTGCTGGAGGCCCTTGGATGGTGAGCGCAGGCCACGTGTCCCCTCCCACCTCCCCCCCACACACAGGATCACTGGAGGTCCCTGCCAGCTACCGGGGCTAGGCTTCACACACACCCCTCCCCTGGCAGTCTCCCCACAGCCCAAGCCTATTAGCTACCTACCTCAGCTGCCTGATGCTTCAAGGTGATGTTCTCCAGGAGCAGTCAGCCGGGAAGATGCTTGGAAGAGCTGTGTGGGAAACTGCAGCGTGGTAGAAGCAAGCAAGGGGGCAGCTCCTATTTCAGGCCAGCACATGTGAGCGATCTCCAGCGCCCCCTTTGCCATCAGGCTGGCTAAGTGGGAGGGCGGGGCATCCCAGAGGAATCTCCCATGCGTAGAGGAGGAGAAGCTGTGTGTCCACTGGGAGAAGTCCCTGCGAGATTGCGCACAAACACACGCTATGGGGAACTGTGGACTGGAGGCCTTTGGAAGACTGAGGGTGGTGACGTTGTAGGAGCAAAGCTCATGGGCAGGAACATACTGGGATGTTGGGTAGGTAATTGCTCTGATCTCAGCAGCAGGGGCTGGCATGCAGACATTCCAGGTTATACCCATTTTCTTGTGTGAATCAGAGAGTGCTCCATGTACCTTATGAGGAATATTCAGATCATTCTCGACAGGACATTGTCAAAAACCAAGCAACCTTTGCTCAGCCAGCCTTCTGCATCTGTGCTGCAGCCCACTGAAGCTCTTGGCCTAGCTCATTGGGTGCAGGATGAAGTTGTCTGGAGAGACACCTGTTGTGTTGCCTCTTTTGTCTCTTATTGCAATGAATGTATATCCCATCTCCCTTTTGCAGAAACTAGAAAAACTCCGAGCAGGCCACGAAGTCGGGCAGGAAGCAAGGCTGGCAGCAGATCTAGTAGCCGCCGGGGCAGTGATGCATCTGACTTTGACATTTCAGAAATCCAGTCTGTGTGCTCAGACGCGTCAGAGACTGTTCGCATGGCAAGCAGACCGACACCTCGGCCTTCTTCTCGGTCTGGAGCTAAGCCTTCCAAAATTCCAACTCCGCAAAGAAGGTTGCCAGCTAGCAAATTAGACAAGTCCTCCAAGAGATAGTGTGATTGTCTCAGTCGAGGTCTTCTTTGTCTATTACATTAAAAATATTTAAGTTTGTAAGATGTAAAATATTCTGTAGAAATTATTGTCAAATATTACAAGGATTTGGATTTTTAATTTTGCAGATGGCCTTATTTGTGTATTTGTCTTGTTTTATGTGTATAATTTTTGTCAACTTTTGTTTTGTTTTCGCCATATCCTATGTGAACAGGGGAAAGGGTTTTTTTAATAAGTGTAAACTAACGGTGGTTTGCAGTAATGTTTAGAGAGATCACTAAAAGCAATTTCTGAATATACAGTGAAGTCTTTGCATCCTGTCAAAAAGGCCTGTTGCTTCATTGTTAGGATAACAGTAAAGGATACCTCATAACTTTGTCTTAAAACACAAGACAAAAGGCAAAATTATGCATTTTAAGCAGAATGAACACTAAAAGGTGTGTGGCTGAGATACTAAGAAACAGAAAACACAGTTCACAGAGCAGTTAAATAAAAAGCATTTTCCAGAGAACTCACCGAAAAAGTTACTTAAAGAGCACTTGCCAGTACTACAATACTCCAATATCTTGCAGCATTTTCTGTGCCATTGCTTTAAAAGAGGCCAGACACAATCTGGATAAAACACCTATTACACTTGTATAAGAATGCCAGTATAACCTGCATTGATGTCAACGTGAGGTTTTCTTTTGCTTGAGTGGATGATAGCACTGTACCATTGGACTCATTTTATATTGAAGCAGTTTTACTTGCAAAAGAGAAAAGGAAAAAAATGTACGAAATAAATCTTGTTCCTTCTCTTTGTTGCTGTTGTGTTACTTGTATCACATGAAAACTGTTACACTGTGTCATGGTTTAGAGTATCCCTAAATCGTTATTTTTGGGAGAAGTTTTAAAGTAGCTTTCCCATTCTCCACCAGACTTTAAATAATTACTGTAATACCTTTTCAGTGCAACTTATTTTGTAATATGTGATGTGACAGGCTGCCGTTTGTTTTACACTGGCTATTTTCCTTTTGTACACGAACTTAATATTGTTGGGTCATGAATGAAAGAAAGGTAAGTGGGCATATGAAGAGAAAAAAATGAAAAAGTCAAATGGGTTGAGGTGAGGTTGTGTGAAGGAGAGGATGCTCTCTGGAGTTTAGAATGGCAGAAACATTGCTTTAGGAAACATATCTATATATCTAATAGCCAAGCCCCCCTCTGCATGCGGATACTTATTTCTGTGGATCTGGGTCACATGGAGGGTAAACAGATCTTCCAGCAAAGTTGGGGCAGTCCCCATGTCTGCAGAAAAATCTAAAATGTTTTTAAAAGTATACAGGGATACTTACATCCCCTCAAAAGTAAAACTGCTTACTCTGCGCACGCGCAGAGAATGGACTTACTGAGGTGCGGGGAAAGCCGCTAGAACTACAAGGGAAGCCGCCACCACAATAGCTCTGCACCCCGCTGCTGGGACAGCCTCCTGCCAGGACTGCCGGCAATGAAGACTATAGCTTCAGCCAACAGGTTTGTGCACTGGACTGATGAGTAAAGGCAGCTGGCAGCGCCCCCAGGGAGGGAGGGCAGCCGCGGCCGAATGTCAGTTGAAGCACGAGGAGGCAAAGCCTGCGTCGTCGGCCCCCCTCCAACTAGATTGGGGACATTTGCTGGCCTGCAGCTGCAAAAGGAGAGAAGTAGAAAGAAGTGAGGTTCTGTGAGGGGGAGAGACAGAGAAAGAATAGTGAATTGTCTGTTGGGGGGAGAAAAAGAAAAGAATGGGAGATTGTCTGAGGGAGGGGGAGAGAAAGAGGAAGGGGAGTTTGGGGGGTAGAGAAATAGTGGAGAGCAAGAGAGGGGCAGACTGAGAGGGGGCATAGGCATAGATTACACGGGGGCGTGGGCCATCCCCGAATTTTTCCAAGGGGGACTGTGCCTCCCCCGGGCAATCAGTACCAGCCACTGGAGGAGGAAACAGACAAGTGTGCAGGCTTGCCTATTGGCAAGGTGGAGCAAAAGCTCCTCCCCTCCACC